TCGAAAGATGTACTGGACCAATGAACAATACAAATGGACAAGGGAAAGGCAGACGAAGATCCTGGGGTAAGTCTTTTTCTTTTTTCCTTTTTTTTCTACTCACCATAATCATTTATGTAAGCGGCCATGCTGAAAGCCATAAATTTGCTATACTCAGCGGATACCGGAAGTATAGCATAGATCTGATTTATATTTATGCGAGATTTTGGTGATGCATTCCGAAAGTGTTCCCATGCTGCGCGGTAGTGTCTGACTATATTTCCAGCTATTCTTGTTTCCGAGTGATCAACCACAGATTCCGCTGTGTACTAAATAATTTTTCCTCGTCCACGCGAGTCTTCTGGATTTTGCCAATTTCGCGTTGATAGCGCGCTGACGAGAGAAGAACATTGTGGACTCTCTATTAAAATACATATTTATATATATTATATTAATGCATATAATACATATTATATTAACATTACAAAAATGGAGGTGATACACGAATGTCAGCTCCAGTCGCAAGTACATAAAAGTCCATCGCACTTTTATAAAATCTCTTAAAAATGATTAAACAATAGGCTTTTTCAATAGCTCTCGAGAAGTTCTACAGTTCCTGATAGGTGTCAACAATCGTTCTGCTACGCAACGTCGGTAAAATATGTATTAAATATGCTTGTGGCATCATATGCTTCAGTGCAGACAGACATGAGTTGCTTGCTTTTGTCATATTAAACTTACCGAGCTTACACTGTGCGATCGAATTTAGGATTGCAAAGAAAAAAAGTATTTAGGCTATATCCGATGAGTTGTCTCGTTCTAAGTGTTGCTTTGGGAACCAGCGATAAGTAGCGGAGGACTCTGCCCGCCAGGCTACCCGTTCGTGATCACGTTCAGCTCGGCTACGACGGGATATGCATTATCGACGGAGGCGATGATCACAAAATTCTATTCCCGGACTCGCCGCTTTAGCGCCATATTTTTGGTATCGCCTAAAACCGTAGCGTTGTGCATCTCCCTACTGATCTCTGTATTCGGATACATTCGGATGTCTTCGAATATTCATCTTCATACTTCTCAGCGATTACACACCTACACCAATATGGATTAAATTTTAATATTTAGAATTTCTGCTATGATATAGTTCATGATTAGATCTCGAATTTGAAAGGACTCCCTATTCAGATTTTAATATAATCCAATATAGTACATGACGTGTACGATCAGGCTGGGTCAAAGGTTGATAGAAGCAAATTGCCGTCAATAACAATCCCAGTGCATAGTCGCAAAGTTTTCTTCAGATCAAAATATAGCTAAACAATATTAAGAAATAATAGCAACGCACTTTAATAGTAATGTACAACAATAAGGAATATACTGTAGCGCAATGTCGTAGTAAGTAATCTTCTATTGAAAATCCTGCACTGTATGCTTTTACATTACCAAATGAACATGTTAGGTAAGAATTTAAGGAGAAATTCGAATGCAATGAGTCATGCAAGTGCGTTGGAAGATTACTTCTTCGCCATTCTTCACCATCGTTGAAATAAGATTTTTTAAAGCCATTCAACACATTACACCACATATAAGTAGTACAACAAAGTCCTTTACAAATCAATCTGAACCATTATTACATTCTCTTTTATTGCGCTATTGGTTATCATTCACCATTACGTATGATTCATATTGAGTCAGAACTTCCACGTTATCTTACATTTTGTGGCGGCAGCATTGACTTTCTAATGGGGGTAAGTGACTGTCATCTTGCGAGACAGAGAGGCGCAAAATAATACAACAGAATAACAATTATCGAGACTGCGCCTATGTCGTTATAACTACTCGCAAAAGTACCAATACATATTTACGATATTCTTTTCCACCTCTTGCTTTTTCTTATTTTCTTTTTTGCGGTATCCGACTCTGCATTCGACTATATTAAGAGTCGCAGCAAACGTATGTGTCAGACGCGCGCACACAAGCGGCGACTATTATGTACTTTGGTACTGCGAAATTCATTAATTTAAAGTCAATTTAACTTAACGTGCCTCGCACCAGAAGGTCCTGATGTACGTCAATCAGTTTTCTTGGATGACTCCTCCTTCGTGCTGCTGTCTAGCAGTGCTTTTTGCTCGGAGTCGATTGACAGCTGACCCTCCATCTCGCCAGAAAAGCCAAACTCATTGACTCGGCTGTGATCGGTTTTGTAAATCCAGCGCTGATACAGGAATATGAAGAAAACAATGTCATCTCGGAAACATCCTAATCTGTAGAGTGTGGGCATCTTTATGACGAAAGCAAAGATGTCGTCGATGAACGTATTCAGGAATTTGTAGGACATCATGCGCCAGGGTAGATGCGCGACGCTCTTCAATTTGTAGTTGATAAAGAGTTGCGGCGTCATCATGATAAAACCGAACGTTAATAAAAATCCATAGAGCATATTCAGTACCCAGGAGTACCATCCCTTGTGCTCCAGGTACATCAAGGAGTAGATGGCATATCCTCCCAGAAGAGGATACAAGGCCCAGGATAGATACTTGAAGGCCAGTCTATCGTACTCCTTTGTGGAAGACTCTACGTACGATCCCTTATCGTGGAAGGTTATTCTAGGAAAGACTTTGAGAATCCGGGATTCTCTGTTTATGCTGATGTCTACTACTTTGTTGATTTTCCATATTTCAATACAGAGTCCAACAGCGCAGCTAATTCTAACGACGGTGTTAGTCTCATTGTCCAGGACGTAAAGAAGTACAACTAATGATTGGAAAACGTTGAAGAAAACAGATCGGACTGATAATCCTTCCAGGGACTTACGATTGTTCCAAAACTGGATATCTGTAATAAGGGAAAGAAAATACCATCATAGTGATACATGGAATCTTAGTTACATTACGTGTTTCATGTTATATGATTGTTTCTGCGAGGAGACACGATGTTATCTTTTTAGATGTTCATGTGAATAAACAACAGTAGCCGTAATATTGCTGCGCAGGTATCAATCATATTTTATGCTTACTCAGACGTTATTTGCTTTTTATGGTTATATAAGACATCTCGAGACATCTCTCGAGTTTCTTCAGGAGAAAAGAATGACTAAAATAAGTAGATGTTGTCTTACCGTTTTTAAAGGCTAAGAGCTCAAAAACACTGTGCAGAATTGAAACAGCCATAGTCAGACCCAATAGATAGGGATTAGTCTCGAGAAGTGTCTCCTTCAGAGTATCTTGATCGTTGTCCTCTTCCTCATTTGTATCTGATGATGTAAAACATGTACACCAAATTACTATCTTAGTCTATTTGATTTTCAAACAGTTCGATAAATTTCGTTTCTTACCCATGAAAGATGGCATCCATTTATTTCTCATCGATTGAGCAGAATAAAGTTGCCACTTGAATAAGGACAGTGGTTGATAAGTCAAACGAAGTTCAAGTTCCTCAATGGTGTCGTTCAATGGCTGATAATCCCTTTGCATATTCCAGAAGTCATTCAGGTAGATAACGGGTTTGTATTGCATACCGCCAGGTAAAAAATAGATATCTGATGAAAAATATGTTGATTAATTCATGGATTAATCTCATTGAGTGATTGAACTTGCAATTTACTTACGTTCATCTAATGGAGGTGGTACTTGACCCTGCACCCAAGCAGTCTGATCCGTTATCATATTAACTGTTAAATTAGGATGCCAATGTGATACGATTTCTTGATCCATTATTTCAGCTTTCTAAAATATAAACCAACCGAATGAGCACTAGTTACTAATCACTATGATAATAATACTTGTAAGATTACATTAGATCGTACCTTGATTTCCAATTCAGTTGCCGTTGTTTGACCAGTCAATAAGTTATGTTTCTTCTGGTACCTAATTCTTTTGAATTTATTTAACATTTTCTTCGAATAAGACATCTCGTCCCCTGCATAGACTCCTTTACCAGCACTTGGATCTGGTAAACGTCCACTTTTAGTGGCATAAATATGAATATATATCGAACCATTTTGCTTGAGCTGGTTGGATGGCCTGAATTTATGCTTAAATACCCTACTACCATCTTGATTTGGGCCACTGTACCAATCTCCATAAATTAAACTATGTTCCGACCATACCAGTGCATTTGGATCTTTGAAATCTTTGAACGTTTCACTCTCGGAGAGATACACATACAGATCAAAAAGTGTTCCATTCTCAAATATATTTGATGCGGGTACACGTGGCACACCACCGGAGACAGGAGCTTGAGAAGTGGTGTCAGTTGATGGTCGTCTCAGGAATGAACTGATGAAGTAAATGAAAAGAGCCCGAATTATCATAGACTTAGCAAAGGCAAAAAAGGACTCCAAGCGTGTCGGTTGGTATTTCTTCCTCTCCTCGTCGATCTCGGCATTGATCTGTAATCACATGACACAATTAATTAATTCGTAAAATCTTATGGGACTTCCAAAGAATCATGCTCCATAATGCAAAAATGCAACAAAACGCATAATTCATGATGAAGCTACAAGAAAACACAATTAGAATCGTCAAGATGTAATGATACAATGTTATAAAAATATAACAAAACGAGACACAGGATTTTAGTTTTGTCTGCGACAGTAATGTCGCAGACGAATTTACGAATTCGATACGTAGCCTTGGCGCTTAGAAATACAAATTATTAATTCATACGGAATATATAATAATTATTGACGCACGTCTCTTTCACCGGTAGAGTCCTCAGCCGCAACTAATTCTCCATTTCCCTGATGATTTTCCCCAATACGTGCCTCATTCTCTTGAGAATTGCGAGCAACGGCATTCTCCTCGTTCGCCATCTTCGCTTCTCGTGAGTACACTAAACACTGATAAGAACAAAAAGAAATGTATTCGAGTACGGCCACCTAAGCGGAAATGCCGGAAGTGACGACACCGCACTGGAAATAGTCAGCCGCTTTCGAAAACGCAAGTCACTCATATGTACTCGCAACTGAATTGTATAATATAAAAAATCTTCTTCGCTTTTTTAGAAAATATTTTACAGTGTTTTAACTATTGAACTATAACTATCGTACACGTCATTATCATTAATCAATGATCAAACCTGCAATATACCGAATTTCAAATGGTAGTCATATTCCTATAATATAAAGCCATAAGAACGATGGTGAAGACGAAATATATCAAATGTACGTAACGTTATATACAATACTATAATGGATGCATATATTATATAATATATTATTCATTTATATCATTTTAATTGTATTTTCAAAATTTCCTATAACGTCTTCGCTACCCTTTTATATTACTACTGCTTCTCCTACTCAATTATGGTTTAATGTGAGCTACATTTAACAATAATTTATATAGAAAACAAATTAGTGTGTACTTCGTGTTGATTTAAAAACCGTTGTGAATGGCATTCTCTAACCAAAGCCATCCCTAATAGGAAAGTGCTCTTGTAACAGTGCCTAAAGCTCAGCTGATAACAATGCCCGGAATCTGAAGTATCATTACCCGGAGTTTGACTGTACGTTACGCAGTTTGAGCTTAGGTTCTTAGTCGGTAGATAGCGCCAGGATACACGTTTAAAATAATGATTTATGAAGGGTATGACAATTAATTGATTATTATATATTATATAATTACTAAGATTAAAGATTGAAAAAATATTTTGTAATTAAATCATGATTCCTCAATATTTTCTAAACATACGTTTTATACAAATGTAACGTCATTGATCAATTCTGATGCACCTGTTGATTCTGTTTCGTTCTATACGATTTCTTATTTTCTACGTATCCAAGGAAACACGAATATATCGAGCAAATGTACTTTCCTTAGAATCTCATCGGAGGATTGTCAAGAAAGTTGAAACGTGCGTGGTCAAGCTACAATACGTTTTTAGAGAAAGTTATTTTTTACAAGAATTTTTTATGGCGTTGGAATTGCGCCTGACTGGTTGATCATCCTAACTTCAAGCGTGGTTTTTTCAAGTCTAATTTCAACAGTAAACTGGGTTACTTTTCCCAATTTAAAAACGTTGCTTTCTAGACAATATTTCATAATACAATGAAACGTCCACCATTGTTACCGTGCTTACCAGGATATAATTTTGATAGCAAGGTAAGGTAAAATATCAAAAATTCCCCAAAAAATTGTACAGTGTTTTAAAAACGAAAACCTCTTCAGATCGGTCAGACAAAATTTAACAGGTCACAACAATTTGACAAAATTCACGATGGCGTGTATTATCTTTCCGAAAAATTGAAATCAGGCATTGGCGGTGAATCGTCGCCATTTACACGTCCTAGTCGTTATCCATCCATATATCCTCGTGGGGAAGATCAGGTTCTTCCGCCATGGTTAGCCTTTGATGGTCAGGTATAGTAAACGTTAAAAAATATGTATTCCATTATTTGTCTATGTGCTAATAGTCCCAGTGATGAAATCTACCAGATATTTTTCGAATTTCTTTCAGAGATTGATGTTTAAGGCTTACTTTCAAGAAACTGTTCAAGAGCGATGGGAAGCCTCGTTCCAAATTCGTGTAGTAACAATCAGCTTCTTTTTGGAAGACGGAACAATCAAAGTTTCTGAACCGGCAGTGGACAATAGCGGCTTAGAGCAAGGTTTAACGGTGCATTATACTGAAAGAATAATATAAAATTTTTTCAAAATTTTACAACAAATAAATTTCAAAAAATTCTTTTTATTTTGTTATTAGGCGTGTTGATACGTCGACAAAGAATACCAATGCCTGATCCAGTTCGATATCGGTTTTACGATATTTTGGATCTAAATGTGGGGAAAGAACCCGAATTTTTTGGAAGAGTTTACAAAATTGTAGACTGTGACAAGTTCACTAGAAGATTTTTGAACCGTATAGGAATACCTGTACCTGATCCCATAGACATTCCAACAGATCCGTACATAGAACGACGCAAGACCGTAGGTGTTTTGTGATTAGGAAAAAATGTACCGTTAGTAATTATTTTGAATTTCAGGAAATTTTTCCAAAAAAACCTAATCGTAAAATCGACAGTTTGGGAAAGTTTTTAAAATTTGACAGAAAAATTCTTCGATTTTATGGCTATTGGGATGATACTGAAAGTGAACATGGTGTCATTCATGATCTTGAAATTCATTATTACTTAGCCGATGACACCATTGAAATTAAGGAACATGTTCCTCCGAATTCCGGCAGAGACACTGGATTCATGTTTCTCCGTCGAATGAAGATACCAAAAGTAATAATATTTTATTTATCAAAATATTCATAGTTAGTCGAAAAAATTTTTATTTAATCGAACGAGCGTAGTTTTTCTCCAGAATTGAACCAATTGGTGCCGAAGATCCTTTCACCATGTTAAATGTCCTTGGGGAAAATAATTCCAAGAGTTATTACGTAGTCGACCCTTTGGATACAGGACGACTTTCTAGAGACTATTACAAAGACAATGATTTAATAATTGGTGCTCAAATCAGTGTGTTTGGTAGAAAAGTAGTTATTACCGATCTCGATGATTTTACCAAAAAATATTATAGGTACGTTTATGCGGATATATGAAAGTAATTAATAATTCTATTATAAATTTTTTTTTTCATAATTAATTTTTTAAGTCAAAAATACGGCTTGGACGACTTTACTCCATTGGAACGTGCAGATGTAAAAAAAGACAAGACCACGTGTTACAGTGTTGAAAAAATCATTCCTCCTTATAATGGTTTTGGATCATACGATGATTCTCTTGGAAATTGTTTTACAGTCACACCTCAGGCACCCAAAGTAGATTTCGTAAAATTCTACTATCATGACAAGTTTGTAACGACTTAAAATTTCCAATTGAAAATTTCATTATACAGAAGTGTATTTAAGAAAATTTATTTTTTTTCATCCAGACAAGGATTTGACAGTCACGTGCTCAGATTTCGGGCAAAAATGATATCAAATATACCTGAGAATTCGGAACGTCATTTTATCATCAGAGTTTATCTAATGGATGACACCGTGTCAGTTTTTGAACTGGCACCCAGGAATTCTGGTAAAATTATTTTCGAGCGGTTTTTTTATGACCATTATATCTTTACCAAAAATTTATGTTCCCAAATTATTTAGGCTTCAAGAGGTGTCTTTTCCAAAAAAGAATGCCGGTAATGTTGCCGGGTCAAAATATTTACACAAATAAAAAACCAAAGTACTACGTACCTTCGGACTTTTATGTCGGCGCAAGAGTGAATCTTTGTGGTTTTCATTTTCAATTGACATCAGCTGACATATACGCACTCCGTTACATGGAATTGCACTGTGACAAGGTAAAATCCTATAATCACAATATATTCACCATTAAGTATTAAAAAAAAAAAATTAACCGCTATTTCTCAGTTTCCAAAATCGAATATCAAATTGATTATGGAGAAATTACGAAAAGCCCTCAAGCCGATATACAAAGATTTCATACGCGATTATAGTCCAGCACCAATGGAAGGAGACATGCAAATTTGGGAATACAAAAAATTAAGGTGACTTAAAAATAATAAATTTGTCTCGATTTATATAATCAATTAAATAAATACTTAATTAAAATAGGGAAGCCTTATGCAAGTACCTTGGCGATAACATAACCGAGCAAGAAATGATAACGATTGCCCGTCATTATTCGTCCCATGAAAAAAAAGATTTTTATTCACGCGAATACGTAAGGTAATTTTCCAAAACATTTTTCTTCTCAATATTCATCGTAATTTACACACCTACACTCCTGCAATTGTCCTCTTTTCACTATCCATACTACTTTAACGTACAGACGTCTCGTGCATACGGAGCTTACTCGGTTTCTTTGGGACGACTTGGATCGACTTACCGAAGCTATTCACCATTGGGATAGGTCAAGATCTGGATATTTACCACGTTCGGAGCTCTACACGATTCTTCGTGGCTGTCGAATACCCATAGACATTGAGCTTCTGAATTCGATGTTGGATCAGTATGTAAAATTTAGAATGCACTATCATAAAATAACAATAAAAATCAGAGAAGATTAGATATTTTAAAAATTAAACATTTTTTACAAATAAAATTACATTTTTTTATTCACGCAGCCTCCACAAGAATAACGAAGGACTAATCGACTGTTGCGATTTATTGAGATTTATGAATACTAAAATTGATCCTGTCACTCCAGTGCTTCCAGTCAATGTCAAGGTACACACTCCCTTTTTTTACATACACATATAATTCAAAAACATTAAATTCAATTTTTTTTTTGGTCAGACTGCATTATGGTGGGCTTCGGAAAAAGAACCAGATTGTGGTGCTGGGATGGATTGGTGTACATTCTTAAAGGATCTGGATCTAAAGGACGACGAAAACGATGAAAGTTTCACGTCAGCATATAATGCCTCTGAAGTAAAGGAAAAGTAAAAGAAACCTATAATCAATGATTTGTCAATGAACTTTTATTGTACGTATACATACATCAAATACACCAAAGTCCTATTTACATGGAACTAACACGCTTTCTAGTCCTACGGCTGATAAATAGAATACATAAAGTAATGCACAATGAATAAATACGTGAGTACAGTTATAAATAATATGACGCCACTTGCCGTTGGCTTACCATTATTGAGCCAATAATAATAATAATTCTTACTAAAAATTAACACCAGAGTCATTTGTCAGCTCTAATCATATAAGAAACAAAATCCTATTTTCCTCACTGTAACAATCTCAAATATTAATTTCCACCGAGAGTAATCTCATTTTACTTGATATTGTCGTTAACGAGGGTAACTAAAAGGACAATAATTATAATCAAATTTAATTATCATTGAATAAAATGCATCAGTTACACTCATAAGTCTTGACGATACTGCGACATGTTTTGCATTTAACGTAACAGCAGCTGATATACTTGCATTCGCATCTTTCGAGAATCTCTTCGGTCTTAGTAACGTGTCCACGGCCACAGCAAAGATATTCGCAGCCTTCGTAGCCAGAACTGCTGCCATTGCATTGTCTGTAAAACAAAAGGAACGGAAGTGACATTCAAATTTCGCGGTTATTTATTCGATCCTCGATATTAATCGAATGCGACTCTTAGAAGTCATTTACTTCGAGGCAGTCGGTCGGGAGATAAATCTGGTAAGGATTGACGCAACGCGACAGGACGTACGATTCAAAAGTTCCAAATTACAGATCGTTACAAAAGTCCGTGAATAATTGCGCCGGGCCCCATCGTAATGAACGGGACACGCCTACGGGATAACTTCGTATGAGGTTATGATTACAGGTTAGCCCTGGTTGGGACTCGAGTAAGAGTCTACTCGTAAATCGGACGTTTATCGCCATGGGCGTATCGACAAGCTCCTAAATCCAATTGGCAATCTCGTGCCACTAAAGAACCCAAATAGCCGTGAGTTGGGTGACTAAAGGTCGAAAGTTTTCCGTATGAAAAATGGAGACAGAGACACGAATAAGAGGAGTAATGACAAATAAGGATGGAAAGAAGGTAACCTATTAAGAAAAAAAAAAAAAAAAAAAAAAAAAAAAAAAAAAAAAAAAAAAAAAAAAAAAAAAAAAAAAAAATTCCTTTTTTTACATTATCCGAAGAACGTTACTCTAGTGTAATTTGGGTTTAGCCGTGCATAATAACCATAGGAGAAAATGCATGACGAATGCAATCAAGGATTAACCTTACCGATTGTCGAAATAATCATCGCCTTCACCTCTAAGATTAGAATCGGTTTTCAAATCGTCTGACGGTTCCCGCCCAAATATTTAACACGTGTATAAATAATTTTTTTTAATTTCAGACTATCTTTTTTCGTGAGTTGGATTTATTTATTTTTTTCTATACCTTCTTTCCGAGTAAGTATATCCAACTGATTTTTTTTTTTTCTAATATAACGAGTAATAATGTCTCTTATTTATCAAGATAAATATTGCGCGTTTATCAGGGATGCGAGATTGAAATGAAAAATGTGTAAGTTAAATGGCGACAGGTTTGGAAAACGGGTTTTTCATTCTCTTGTACTCCTTTTTTTTTTCCTTCTTTCTTTTCTCCTACCCCACCCTATTGCCCACGTGTCTCCGTTCCAAGGAGAACAAAAACGCAGACTGTCCGCTTCTCTCTTATAATTACGTTCACCCTCGCATAAATAAAGCGATATCGTCTCGGCAAGTAGATAACGAACGAACCGGCCATCGGAATTCGTCCTGTGTGGTTGGTATATCGATATATGCAAATCGGTTTACACCTCGGCACACATGCTCCGCCATGGAATTAACATAAAAGTGATCGTGAACATTTCGAGTATTAGAGACGGTCAGGACCGGTGAGCATAAATTGTTTTTCCATTGTTTTCCAGTACCACGAATTTAAACAGTACGATAAAGATAGTACACGGACTTTAATTTTCGATAATAATAACAACACAGGTATATAAAAAATCCGTGTTATTTTCCAGATATACGAAAAATAGTAAACTTATTATTTTTCTTCATTTTTTTTTTAAAATTAGCACGCAACCCCATTCGCTCTTTTTTTTTGCGTAGTGAAAGATTCAGTCGCGAAGGGTAACTTCGCTTTTTTACGGCAGCTCGTCCTTTCGTTACGAGCCGTCGGTCGAATGGGCCATTAGCGACATCGTAAAGGACTCTTTACGATCCAATCGGCGCGCAGGAAATGGAAAGACGTATTCCTCACTCTTAATTGTATTCTCTCGCTATAAGAATTTACAGATAGCTGGTATTAATTAATTAAAAGTCAGTATTACCAACTGCCGAGAAAACGTCTTTCGGAACATAATGTTGATGATCTGTGTGAAACATTTTCTTGAATTACAGATTTCCTTTTTATTTGCATAATTTATATATTATACAAGTAATGAGATATAGCGAGGTATAAATGAAAAGTTTAAGTAGAATAAAATAAAAGAAAAATTACTCACCTGCCAATGGTACCCAGACTGCCACGATTTTTATCCGGCGAACAATAATCCGGACTCTTGGTAGTGTAAAGGAGATTATCGTGATGATATAGTGGCGGAAGTCGACCACCAGATCTGGGCCTGACTTCCGCCGCAGTAGCGTACCTACGAAGGAGTCTGGCGCCAGCCACAGCAGGTCCCGAGGAACCCAGACCTCTCCAGCACGTACGAACGCTGCAGGATCCCGAAACGCCATGGCACTTGCATTCAAGGCTCAATGATTGTTCCACGGCCTTAAATTGTTGTGATTAATTGACATAAGAAACCTTACGAAAGTCGAATACCGTGTACAATGATTATTTAGATTTTTTTATTAATCAAGATAAATATTGACCCTTCTTCCTGCACGGTGATTGTGCATGTTGACTGCATGTAAGAATTTGCCGGTAGAGCCAAAAGCTGGCGGGCTCGCACCCTGGAGGAAGCGTTTTGCTATTCTGGAGGCAGATCGAACGTCATCGCCACAGCCACCCCACTTGAATGAACTCCTCGAAGCCAAACCACCGAAGGTGATCGAGGAGGCTGAGAATGCAGAGGTCAATGCCGATGGTGATGGTGGCTCTCGTCTTGGTGGTGTCGCACAGGAACAGGATGCCAGACTACCTAGTGCGCAACCACGTGCTAAACGCCAAACAGCTGCGGCTGCTGACATTGCGTATACAAATGCCTGTTCTCTGGTTCCTATTGGTAACAATTATTTTTTTCATTTAAAACTTATTCTCTTGTCTACCTGACGGAGTTTATTGAATGTTTTTTTTTTTTTTTTTTTCGAAAATCTGATCTAATTAATTCATTTGGCAAGAACGACGAAGAAGCCAATATACGTATGACGAAGAGACACGCGCATCTCTGTGGTTCGGTAAATGCGACTAATTAGAAGTTTCCTCTTGGGGTCTTCCCATTCATCTGACCGACGTCAAAGGACCAGCCTTAATATCATCCTCATGAATACGACCGACCATCTCTGCCTCTTAATTATGAAGATGGTGTATATATGAACGTATGCGAAATGAGAAGTGTCTATGGAATTTTGGAGGGAAACAAAAAAATTAAACTACGATTCATGCCGATCGGATACGATAATTAAATATTTTTCGAGCTCGTTAAACGTACCGATAACTTATCCGTGAAAAATTGTTAAAAAATGGATTTTTGGAATATTCATCTTTTTTAATTGAGGAACGTAATTGAAAATTAAAAAAAAAAATACCCGTAAGAAGTTCAGGAGTGTAATCAGGAGCTCGTTCGATATTGCTGCAATTCCATCGGCGATTCCGGAAGGAGTGCTGACATACTGCGGAAGTATCTATGGCAGCTTGGACCAAACTGGGCATCACTTCCGGTGCCGCTCTGCAGGCCCTAGCCTGCTTCCGTTCGAGAATCCCAGCACTTCGCAAACCCGTGCAAGCTTCTCTGGTCCATGGTTGCTGAATTTCGTTGCTGCTGTGGCCGAGAGCCCTGTGTATAAAAAATTTTTTTTTCTGACGTCATCTTGCAACAGACGGAAGATGCTGTGAAAATTCTTTGGTACATAGTCTCCGTTAAAAGCTTCGCTTCTCTAAAGAATTCGTAAAATGAGGAAAAATGTCTATTCGTAGGACGAAGGGGCGTACAGGTCCGTAAATCAAGGGTTGAATTTCGAGAATTACAGGGCGCTTAGGCCGATCCGGCCTCGCGAGGTTATGGCCCGTAATTACGAACACCTGAAAATCCAAATGGCCCGACTCACGTCTAGACGTATAACTGCCAAGGCAATGGCTGCACTACCAACCCCTTTCGAGGCCCGAACCTCAGAATTACCCTATCAACGGCCCATAGTACTCGCATAACCATTTTCCACCCCTTTCTACTCTTTACGCAACGAACCTCATTTCCACGGTCATTTGACCTCCTATCCCACCGTCTGCCCTTTAACAATTTTGGGATCGTACCAATATTTCATTTTCAATTCATTAAACTCTATCGGAACCTAACCCAATCTGGTATCAGATAAAATAAAAGTAAACCAGTGACAAAATTAAATCTCGATTCAATGTTGAATATGAAAAAATTTATAAGAAAATTATTAAAAAATTTTTATCATCATCCATAGCACCAAAGCCACGCTACTTTAATATATACTTTGTATGCTCGCTATAAATTAACTAAACATTGTAGACTATAGATCTTAAGGAGCAAACCCGTACAAGATAATTCCTATGAAAATGCCAGGAACATAAACTGTCTGATGGTTGGTTCTTGTGACGACGGCGATTGTGACGGTACCTTAAGTCGTGGGTCGGCATGACTTTTCGAAATGAGTTTTGATTTGTAAACCGTATAAAGCGCACTGTTTATGCCGTCGATAACGGCCCTCGTTTGGTCTCGCCTACGAAGAAATGGCCACGCGATGCTAATGCTACCTAAGACACACGTCTGTACCCATGGCTGACCTCTCACGTGTACATACGAGTACGTACCAGAGTACCTACGTGAATGACGCTTTTAAATCAATGCCGCTAACTACGACCGCCCATTGATTTACAACCGGAATTGCGAAATTGCCACGTACGATTATTATTAATACGAACCCTCTTTATCTCTGCCCACGCGTTATTGCGCGTACGATATCCGTATCTATCTTCTGCACGCCGCTACTATTTATCGTGCCGACCATTATTATATTTATGCATTTCTATCATCGATACCATAATGACGATTGATCGGTACCATTTCCTCATTCTTTACGTCATATTAAATATTAATTGCGATAGATTGCCCTCGCTGGCAATTCTTCCACTCGTATGCTTATTATTATTTACAATAACACTTATCGTCATATTTTCTTATATCGTTTAACATATATCAATTTTATGTCGACGATAGAGTCATTGCGTTTATTATCAATGATATCATTTATAATAGAATCGTACGTCTCTTGCTTATTGAAATCACTGTTATTTTGGTTATCCGTTAAAATAATTTTTTTTATGGATTTCGTTATTATCCAATTTTTCATTTATTTATCAATTAACGATATTCAATTTTCGTTATGTCTTGAATATTTATTTCACGCGTGTCGTCGTTAGATGCTAATTTGGCAGTTTTGAAATATTATGGCGATTGGCATACGACTATGCTACGTGGGTATCGTCTTGTTTATGTTGCAGGTGGAAACAGCTGTTTGACGCTAATGCGATATTACAATGAGTAAACGTATATTGTGTTACGTTACACCAAAGGGATTATGCGCGTGATCGTGATTTATTTAACGTCGGAATTGTGAAATTGGCACGGACGATTAATAGCAACGAATCCGGCCACTTGCGACCCACTTCACCCATTTATCACGGTCCTCCCGTTTCCATCGATCGTCATTAATCGATCGTCAGGTTTACGGGCGAATAAAACAATTTAATATCCATAATGAAATATGAGTTTTCATTTAATTGAAAAAAAAAAAAAAATTATTAAATACGTTATGAGTATGAGAATTATACGTCGCGATTAAAAGTATCGATGAAATGATCAAATTTATTTTTCTACCCTTATACGATCCGGGCCGAGGGGTAAAAGTAACGAATGATTAATCGTTAATAAAATTAATACAAATTTGACAATAATATTTTTCTTCGCTTTAACGAAATTATCTTCATCCGTTTGTCATCCCTTTCTACCACCCCAAACTACCCCATCGACCATTTCTATCGCATTTGTTTTGCCGCCGAGAATGCACGGGCTAATCGCTGTTGATATTTCGAGGTCCATGAAGAGAATTTCCTCGGGGATGTTTTCCGGCACGAAAGGGACCAGAGGCCGGATGATGAATGGTGGAGTGATGGCAGTTTTGCGTGCAAACCGCCGAGACCAAAATACGAGAATATTAGGGGTTGTCCGATCTAACGTTCGTATATCCGTGGGGTAGTGGGTATGCGTGCTTACGTGCAAGCAGGTATCTGTATATAGGTATTAAAGCGTGAATGAGGAAAAGGAAGACAAGACGACGGGCGGCGGAATCTGGAGGAGAGAGAAGAAAAGAGAAACTAAGAGAAAGATTGAGAGGGCCGTGCATGCCACCGATCGTGATTTATAAAGGCTCGTACCGTGAAGACGCTAGTCCTACCCTTATTTTCTTTTTATATTTTTTGTTTTCTTACATTTTTCTCATTTCTCGGGGTTTTCACATTTTTTCCCCTAATTTATTTTCATTGCGATTAGTTAGCGCGGTACTCGTAACCATTGACATATTCTACGGCGCTTCGAATACAGTCGCAAGTTAATCCATGGAAAATGATAAAATAATTGATGAATTTTTTTTTTTATTCATCGTACATCCCATTAGCGATATTTATTATTCTCCAGTATTTTTCAGTGCATCGTTATTTTGGTATGAATATTTTTATCCGAGATTCACGTATACTCACGATATCTTCTATATGGACCAGTTGATCGGGTTAATAATTTTGTAACATATTCAAATGCACTTGGAAGCACGACTGGTAGTTATCGCGTACGTTTTTGGTTGTCTTTTTTTTTTCATTTTTCTTCCTTTTTTCTTGTCTAAACCTCATCGTCCCTGAGGGAGGGAGGATGATGAAGCGCTGCAGGATTATGATATAGGAGTCCGCTTTCCTCTTAGCCAACCCATTGCCTACCTATACTATTTGTTTCTCATTAACGGGCCTACATTAATCTTCCGCTGGACTTCGGCTATCTTCGTGTAAGAGCGTGAGAATTTTCTAAGAATGCTGTTCATTCGAGAAACTATATTACGAAGCAGCGCGGACAACTCGAAGTTTTGGATTTTATCATTTTCAACGATAGAATTTAGTGAACGTGACACAAGTCATTAAGAAATGAAATTGAAGTGGATGTTTTTTTTTTTCGATTACTTACAGCCACTTGATGCAGCAACCATTGTGAATTAGAAGGACGAACAGGAGAAGGCAGCACTTCGTTCTCCGCATGGTATCTGTCCTACGCTTCACATCCTTCTGAATATATCTGGTTGTATTGGTTTTTTGGATTTTCGATTTTTTAAGCACCGATTACAAAACGCACGTCATGAAATACAAGTTTCTTCGTCGAAAAAAACAAATTTTTCGAATTCATCTCCACCGGAAGGAGAATTCAAAAAATTCTGTAATAAATGAAATTATTTTAAGTTCACCGCACTGATTTTCTTTAAATTTCAAAAGACACTCGTTCTCGATAAACGTCTTAAAAAACACAAGAACATCCACTCACTTCTTCATTCATAGCCACAACACAAACTTCATCACTTCAGGGCGACTATCGCTACTATGCACAGTCACGCGAACTTCGCGTTCATTAAAATTAAACCTTTCTCCGCAGTGTGAAGCACAAATCGATCCTTGCTGTAAGTATCGTATGAATTTTTCAAAACGGAGACACCGATCAACAGCAATTAAATTAATAACCAAAAATATAAAAATTTAAAAAATTAATCAACGATCCAGTCATTAAGAGTAGCAAATAAAAAAAAAAGCAATTTTGAATTTTTCAGCAATTCAAAAAAAATTTCCAAAAGTCTCCTCAGTGCTTTCTTTGCAAATGTCCCGCAGCAGGACCAAGGATCCAAAAGTGGTCCCGTTTCAGACAAGCAAGGAAGTAAGCGATACCATGGAAGGAGCAAAGAATTAAAGAATATAAGGTTGGACTAAAAGGTAAATTGAATGAGGGTGTCGAGGATGGTAAAAATGTGCAGAAGTGGTGAAAATAATTTTTTGAGCTTGAAGCTGTGTCGGCGCGACGTGATTGGAGGAAGAGGAGGACTGCCGATGTGAAGTGCTCGCCGGCGAAGCACCTCAAGAATAAACTCGAGGTAGAGGCGGAGGTGATGCTAGTGGTGGAGGTGGAGGATGAGGAGACTCCCACGGACCCTTCCACCTCGCCCAAATCTCCAATAACTTTTACGTCAGTTGCCCACGTTCATTCAGCTTTCCAGATCCCATAACGAATATAGGACTCCGATTCGATAGTTATCTGAGCTTGCAGTAATTATCATTGCTATTATTATTATTATGAAATCTTACCTCATTGATTTTACTCAATCAAAGATTTAAGGTAAATAAGATTTTGTGGTATTTTTTTTTTTTAATTTTAAATTATAATATTTTGTTCATTATTTTTTTTTTTTATAACACACGAAGGTACAGCGGGTGATAATGGGGAAATGAAACGGATGCTCGAGTGGAATGGAATGAATGCATTCCAAGCAAAATTGTTCAAAGTTTAGGGCGTATCCTCAATGCCGACAAAAGCCGATCCGGTCGAGTCATTCATATCGATAATTAGCACGATCGCGCCTATAATACCACGGGGAGACTTCCTTTTGCCTTTTTTTCTACCTTTTTCGGTCTTTTCACGTCGTCCCGTCTTCACATCGAATTATACCTGTCTGAAAATTTCGAGGAACATCCTAAAGGATCTTTTCGTTCTGTTTTCGTTAACGGCTGAGAAGCGGATCGGGAGTGAAGAAATTATGAAAATTTTTAAAAATTATTTATACGATTGCGACAGTTTGAAACGATTTAGGAAAATTTTTCGTAAAATTCCAAATTATTCCATTTAATTTTTCTTTCTCTTTTACACGCTATTACGAAGGGACGATAATATATTTGGTCCCTGGAGTAATCTGTCAGGGGACATTCAAATGTGGCAGCAGCTGTGCGTTTCGGCTATTAAAAACGACTTAGCCCTTCCATGCATTTTTTTTTCTCTTCTCTTCATCTCTTTTCGTCCTATCCTCATCGAGTATACTTACACTCACTTACACGTGCTCGCTATAGCAAGCCCTTGGCAAAATATAGAGATTTGCCTAATGATCCGTGAGAGCTTCTCTTTGGTAGGAAAAAATAAACAACAAAGACATTTTTCATTTTTTTCTTTTTTTCACTTTTTTATGTATTTTTTTAACGTCGTATTATTTCCCTGTCGTAACAGCTGATTTTGAGGTTATCCTTCTACAGCTCTCTGCTGAAGAAATCATTTGAAATTTATAACTGTTTTCTTAAACGTCGTTTCTATGGGTTTCTTTTATTATTACCATACTGCTTGCTCCATAATAAACGATATTAAATGTCGGATTATTAAGATTTTAAGATTTGAGTTGGCGATACTCGCTCAGTCTAATTTATGATACAGACACAGTGGAGACTCATGATATTCCCATTAGAACGGCATCGAAAGCCGGCTAGGAGATTCGCGGATCTACATAATCCCCAAACAATGATGCCGGACAAAAACACTTGCGAAGGGATGAGCCGTCAAACATTCGCCATTTTATTGTCAAACCAGCAACTTCTTACTCGTTGATAGCAATTTTCTACCACTTATCTGCTAATCTCTGAAAGAAATTTAAAAGCTCCCCTCAAAGCATCTGTTAAAATTTAATATTTTATAAAATTAATTTTTAATTCATTCATTTTGTCTTATTAATTCAATATACACTGTGACGTGGCATTTCGATGCCATAGAAAAATGTCGGTTAAGCATCAAATGTTTCAGTTATAACATAGGTAGGGGAAGGTGAGGTAAATGTCATTAGAACAATTTGACAATTATTCTCTGACTAGTCAGGAACACGTGCACGTTCAGCTGATTTTGACCGTGAGTGAAATGAGTGCGTGAGTTGAAAATGAGTGCGTGAAGGGCAAAAAATAATGCTGTCCATGATGGTGAGTAATAAGAAAATTCATATATATAAAATGAGAATGAATTTTAACTTTGACGTACGGAATAGTGTAACTTGCTCAGTCGGATAATTGACGCACAGTTAAAATATTTTTCGAATTACGTTTCATAAGTTTCAATAAGGTGAAGAAGCCAAATATATCTTGTTTTTAACATATTGTGAAAAGTACTTTTTAAATTTCACAATGAAAATTTACGACGATTGTTTGTTTTTTATATTATATAACGAAAAAAAAAAAAAATAACAAACTTTACATTATTATTATTTTCAATCAGCGCGTGAAATCGAATTACAAATTAAGACTAAGAGAAAAATATCAGACTGAAAATATGTAATAAAATATTAATTAAACCAATTAATGAAGATGTAGCGATTATAGTGGAGCTATCACTCGCTACCCAAGGCATCCAGAATCCATTGAATTTTTCTGGATAAGATGCTGGATCGACGTCTGTATTCGTTTGTGGTACTAGCTCGGATTCAAAAATTTCTATCATTTTACTTAAACTGATAAAAATCTGAAACATAGATAGATTGAGATTACTATCCCTTAGCACTTAGTCATACCGAATGCTTAGTAACTTTGTACCTCAGGATAATCAGCAGACACATCAGTAGTCTCACAGGGATCGTTTTGAAGATTGAAAAGACAGGTGTCGCTGCAGTTTGCAAAGTCAGTAAAATTATTACATCTAACTATACTGGCTGATCGAAGATTAAGGATTTTTGTTTCCGTAAGTAAAGAATTTCCTATACTGGTGATAGCAAGTCCCGCGTCAGATTCAAGAATTTCTGTGATATTGTATTCCGGATAGGAATTATTATTTCCAGTATCACCATAATAATTTCCATATAGATCAGCAGCACCTACATATATAAAATTTTCAAAAAGTTTTACATAAAATTGACAAAACATTAATAATGAATGAGAAACAAGAAAAATACTGACCTTCGATCAATTTGAATTTTCCAGAAACAACACCCCTAAGATTTACAGCATCGTCAATGTTAATTAATAAAGATTCTCGTGCGCTATTCTCGGCTAGGCTTATCGCCGACCATTGGTCTAGACCATCGATATCCCCAAGATCATTAACGTCCCCACCAGCCAGAGAATAGAACGTCGGTAACCAATCGGTAACATGAAGCAACTGTTCCGAGACGCGGGAATTATTTTTAATCAATGGTGAATAAATACAAGCTACGCCACGTACTCCGCCATCGTAATGTGTAAATTTCAACTAAAAAAAAATATATATTGAACTTTAATTTATATAATTATTCTTATTCTAATTAATATATCAATCAACAGTAATTACCCCACGTAAAGGATAATTCGAGCCATAATTCTCCAGAAATCCTTCGGTCTGGGCTCCGTTGTCAGCCATAAATACAATTATAGAATTGTCAAGCATGTTAGCATCACCAAGAGCTTTCACTATACGTCCCACGGATTGGTCCAGAGCCATCATCATACCTGTCGATATTTTATTTTAATTTATAATTATCATTTCTTTTTGCACGCACACAATAATTAATCACCTGCAAACTTTCTCCTGTTGATATTCTCGATGTACCCAAACCTAGAATTGACTTCACTCATATTTCGAACCTCAACTACTTCCTTTGCTTCGCTGCTATGTGGCGCTGGATGCGCTAGGTGTAGATAAAGTGGTTCGGTCGCGTCATGGTTTTCAATTACCTTCACAGCCTCTTCAGTAAAGACGTCAGTTGCGTAATTGCTATTACGTCTCATCTCTAAAGTACTTGCCGTGTCTTGATGCAAATCAAAGCCAGTGTGATTCTTTCAAAACAATGGAAAAACACGAACATTGAGGACATTGAAGCAGAATTTTTTGTCACAGTGACTGCTAGTAACGTACGTTTTTACTTATGGTATAATTGAAGTAACTTATGTAACCACTGTAGTGGCCGTAGAAACTCTCGAATCCACGTCGGGTTGGCGTATGCTCGTTAGTATAATAACCAACGTGCCATTTTCCTACCAATCTGGTGCGGTATCCTAAATTTCGAAGATGTTCCGGAAGTAACCTCACATTTAGCGGAATTCCTCGAGGTTCACCAACTGACAAAGGTTTGCCCTGCATTCCTGCAATTTTCATAATTTCTTTTCTGCATGATTCCAAAATATTAAACATTTTATTTTTTCTTTCACCTGGAAATAGCATGAGCTCTTATCTATAATCCAAGTGTAATCTTATCTCTTGTATAAATTTAAACGTAGATAACTGTACGAGGCAATTCAAAAGTTGTTCAATAGACATAAGTAAGCGTTACTGACTCGATGATAAAGTTTAAATAAATATAACATCACAGCCTGGATTAACCGATTAACCCAATAAGGGATAGCAGGTGGTGGTATGTTTCCTACCATGTTCTGTTTGATTTTTTCACGTTGCCGATCTGTTTCACCCTTAATCTTTATACAGTTACACTGGTTGGACTTGTAGGAACCTAAACTATGCAATCATGAACAAAATAGACATCAATTTGCTTGAACGCCATTGACCGTAAACAATGAAGACAGAAAAAAATACAAGTAAGTGAAATTAGGCAGCATAAGCAATTCATATACGTGCACAGTTTTGAGAATGTCGATGCAGCACAAGTAGATCGTTTGGCGAGTCAGACCAGCTAAGAGAAGTTATGCGATTACACTGCAAATTTAAGTACACGCATTTATGTGGGACTAAAGCCTATGACCCATGAACCCTAACAGTCCAATAAAAGGAATATGATAATTGGGCAAATCGTAGAAATTACGTATAATATAAAATTTAGGAATGAAAATCACGAGCTACAGCTATATTGTTGAAAAAATAACATTAAAGTAGGATAGATCTAGTTATTCTTTAAAATGTTGAGAATGCAAAACACTTGCTAGCTGATCTTGTCTTTTCTCTATAGTATCTCGACAATTATGACCTTATTACTATTATTACTGATATCAGTATACCTTATAAAACGATATAGATAACTGTGTAAGTTTTATATGGTTATTCAGCGCCTATCTAAATATCATACTATACGTGTGCAATGTCAATAAAATACATACCATATAATATATTGTGTATCAGGCGGATAAAATTTGCCTAATAGACGACTGGTATTGTTTAATTAATAAAGGATCGTCCATACTGAACCTATGGTCATGTCAATTAATATTATAAACCGTATATTATAATTACCAGTTCTGATAGGGTAACGGCCGGTAAAGAAAGCTGTCCTCGAGGGCGTACAAGTTGGAAGGACGTAGTGGCGATTGAGAATGACACCATTGTATGCCAGAGCGTCTATATTCGGTGTAGGTATTTGATCCGCTCCATGAAAACTCACGTCGTTCCAGCCCTGATTTTTTTTTAAACATTAATATAATTTATAACAAGCAAATTTCGTTATTACAGAATTGTATATTTCACAGGCATGGCGATGGCACGTGTCAATTTGCATAGTGAATGGAATGTCTGTATCCTTGAAAATTGAATCTTTAGAAAACTTATTGGCCATATATATACATGTATATATGTTAACGAAGATCAGGTTTAGCAATTTAATTAAGAGTTATGAAATTGTTAGATACGAAAAATCACGTGAATAGTGTCGTCAAAGTACAAGTATAACGACTAATGCATTGTTGTGTATATGCTTATATCAAATCAGGTCAAGTGATATTCTACAAATTTTTTCCCATATCAGTCGTAATGTTTGTACAGTTGGTGAGTTTGACTTCTTATACATCAACCTCGAACTCGTTATCATTATTTATGGTAATCGAGATAATACAACGTATCTGTGAAAAAGAGTTTACTTAATTTTCAAAAAATGTTTGCTGAAAATATGCTTTAAATTTGATATTCAATAGAAATTCAACAAATGCAAGCAAATATTCAGCAAAAGTTTAGCAATAATTTTAGCAAGCAAATTAAATTCTTCTGTGATATTATTCTTGGAACTGTATGCTGCAGTCTGGGAGGTTGAGATCGCTATTATTGAACCATATTAGAAAGACATTATACTAAACGATATAATCAAAGTTAGACGTCACTCGTTTTCTGATAACGATCCTTGTCTTTTGTTGGACTTTAACAAAATTACACGAATCCTCTTGTTGATTTTCATATTAGTGTTATGTTTAACATATACATATAAAATTAGTTATAAAATTTATTTTTCGTTTGGAATATATGTTTTTGAGGTGGAATAAAATAAATGAAAGAATTTTACAAAAATATAAAATATATTGATTTCATCAAAATTAAGGAACAACAATCTTACCAAATCGTCAGCTACGATGACGACGATGTTTGGTTGCTTGCTGGATTTTTGTTCACTTTGTATTCTTCCTATGCTAGCCAAGATGACGAACGTTCCCAGCAAACGTTTAGGTAATGTCCATGGATGTTTGACAGGAATCCTATATTTGATACAGATATATAAAAAATTGCTAAACCACGAATAATTTTGTTGTTACATGAAAAAAAAATATATATATTTAAATATTTTCGCTCAAGTACCTCACTTGGTGGCGCTTACCTCATTTTAAAAAAAAATAGTAGATCAAATCAATTCCCAATGGCACTTGACAGATAATAATTGTATATTGATATTTATCACGGTAATTCTTTTTTAAATTTATAAAATAAAAATTATTTCACACTTTGCAAGTATCATTTAAATTCACAGTAATGTACTGTGTTATATTTTTTTAGTGGTTAAAAATATTTCGTGCCACTCGCAGAATCGTTAACGAAACGTGGGCTTGGGCTGCGTAGTTTATACAACACTGACTAATCGTGCCAGTGCCAAGTTGTGTTCAACTCATATGTTTTTACAGCATAAGAGAAAGGAGTTTATAATGCCAGGAAAATGTAACCATTGTCATTTATCTGTTAATTGTTCATATACAATTACCCGGCAATCATAAAGTAAGAGTTACATATTAGCAACGTTATCATTTTTTTGTTCAAGCACATAATATTATTGGGTGCACGTGAATAAATACAACCTTAATTATGAACTTCTGGCATTGCTAATATCTAACTTTTATGTTACATTTGCTGAATAATTATGTATAGTTCATTGAATCGTCTATCGTGAAATAATTTTTATAATCATGAAATCGAAGGTAACCCTGTGGTCAAATTTTCCATTGATTTTCATTTACGATAGATTACCCTTAGAGAAAAAAAAAACTATTAGTAATGGCAAATTTTTCTATAACTTGCATGACACTTTCGACACCAAAGAAAATATTCATATTAATATACCTATAATTAACTTTCTGCACTTTCTACACTTGTGACAAATAATTAATTCTTATTTTGATATTAATTATAAATTTATACGAAATTTAGAACTTTATATGGTCACTCCGCACTTCTTATGGTAATACGTGTTATTCGTATCTGACATATTGATTTTTATTTTGCTTGTTCCTCGATTAATAAATATATACAAGTATAACTTAATTATTATTGAACGGCTGAATAAATAATTAAATCTCCGTTGGATATTGAACATACAAAATTTTTTTGCAATAACATTACATTATTTGATAAGTGGTCTGTCTGGTGGTGATATCAGTGTCACATTAAAAAGACTCCCACATTCTGACCGGTAAGAAAATATGTCTGCAAAGAGGCACTTATCTCATTATCAAAATATAGTATATATCTTACAATTCATATGATTGGACATTGATAACTAATAAATTATATCAATTAATATTTGTTGGCTGATTTAGAACAAGGATAGCAAACCAAAGTAAACGTGACTGTCGATTGATTAATCGATTATCTACGTACATTGATTGATTAATTGATTATCTACAATGCATCTAGTCAAACAGCATAAATATACTTGGACGAAAATGAGAATAATTAAGAATCCGAGCGTTGATCATGTATAATAAGAAAATAATTATTTAACGAGTATCACGCCAAAGGTCGTCACACTCTTGATTTTCGTCAACGAAGCTGATATCAGTGAAAGTATCAAAGTGATCTCCAAGTCTTTTCCGATCTTTATTACTACTACCGTCAGGAAAATAAAAAATGGCTGTCCCATTACGACCATTCGATGGAAATGTATCTTGCAGTCAGATAAAAGCTCGCAACCCCACGATTATCAGTGCCATTCCAATATGTGCACATATGGCAGTGGTACCAATAGCACCAGCTCCATTTGGATTAGGATACACAAAGACTCCAGGTTTCAGCCACGGTTGCCAAGTGCCATTCTTCCTTCGTGGATCCGCCATTTGATCCACAGGTAGACGTAACTGTTTCATCAATGAGTTAGAATGCTTCGCTAGAAATTGATCTAGATCCGTGACCCTCTGTAAATATGATAATACATTAATAAGCCTATAATCAAAATCTTGTATATCTTTTCATCCAGCAAAAGACTCACCATGGGATACTGCTGAGCTATATTTTTGGTTTCGCATGGATCGTGTATAATGTCAAAGAGACACTCAGTCTGGTTACACGTAGAGACGTTAAAGATATTAGGAGATGTACTATTTGTATGACATTCCACAGTAGCCCGTTGTCGTAAAGTTATCATAGTGCTTGGCTGAGTGATTGGCGTACCTAAATGAGTCCTAATACTGTCTGCAACTACACTGTGCAATATTCGAGTTGTATTGTAGCTTATCGTGACACGTCTTCGATAGTGATTTATTGGCCAGACGTAGCCATCGTACTGTCCATGTGGATCGATGGATCCTGATTAACAATAAAATCATAATAATCGCTTATCAGACACTTGACAGTACTGTGAATAATATAAATTGCCATAAACTCTTGTGCCGTTCAAGTATACTTTGTAAATAACATAAGATTATTAATTAAAAATTATCGAAATTTCTATTAACCAACCTCTGATGAGTTTGAATCGCCCGTGAATGGCCCCTTCTGTTTTTGAAATTTCATCGATATTCAATAAAATTGTACGACTTGTAGATTGGCCACTATGATTCAACGCACGCCATTGATTAACGCCATCTAATTCTCTTAAATCTCGTATGTCTCCTCCTGCTGCTGCATATAATGTTGGTACCCAATCAGTGATATGTATTAATTGATCTGATACTCGGGCCACGTCCTGTAACAACGGTGACCATATTGCTGCTACACCGCGAACACCACCCTCGTACAAAGTGTACTTAGTCTGTAATAATAAAGAAATACAATAATTATTATTAATAATCATGTGTTATAAACGTTCTTCTAAATACTTACACCACGCAGAGGGTAGTTCCACGCCCAATTCCTATATTTACCGGTAGGTGCTCCGCCATTATCCGTAAGAAATAGTATAAGCGAATTCTTCAGCATTCCTCTATCTCCAAGAGACGAAACCACCCTTCCGACAGAATTGTCCAAACGCGTGACCATAGCTGAGAAAAAAAATATATATAAAAGTCACAATACACATTTTTTCATCGCTAACTCACGGCTCATTTATTTACCAGCATATTTGCGTCTTTCGTATTCCTTAATATGCGTGAAATTCTCTTCGTGGTAATCATCGGGTGGAAATTCAAGAGGAGCGTGTACAGCCAGATGAGAAATTTGAAGGTAGAGTGGTCTCTGAGAATAATGATTGTCGATGATCCTGACAGCCTCGTTAGTAAAGAGATCTGTTGCGTATTCATGCTTTAACCCATAAGCTGGTTGATCATCAATATGCATGTCGTATCCGCTCATATTCTATAATAATCATTAATCGTAGTGAGATTATTAAAATAACAGAGAAATTGTCACAGAAACATAATTTATTAATTCGATACCATTACTCACTCCTTGGGTATATCGATAATCGTAATAACTGATGTATCTGTTATAAAATCCTAAGAAGGAATCGAATCCACGATGAAGAGGAGTATGTTGTGGAGTATGAAAACCCACGTGCCATTTTCCAATCAATCTTGTTTCGTATCCAAGTTTTTGTAAGTGCTCTGGAAGTATTTTTATATCTATCGGAAGTCCACGAGGTTCGCCACCTTGGATACTATCGCCCTGCAATCCTATATCAAACCGGAATAATCGTTTACTAGACTAGTCACGCCATCTCTTTTATATGTCACTGTAAGCCTATTTAATTTAGTACACATGTATATCCTGCTTGTGAATACGATAACAGTCTAATAACAGTTAAACCCTAACTTTACACTGACGCCGGTACCATCTGGTTTAAGTTGCCACGCTCTACTTACCCATCCGAGTTGGATATCGGCCGGTCAAAAAGGCAGCCCTTGAGGACGTACAAGACGGCAGTACGTAATGCCTATTCAGAATGATACCATTGTAAGCAAGAGCATCGATGTTTGGCGTAGGAATTTCGTTAGAGCCATGAAAGCCAACGTCGTCCCAGCCCTAGAAAATAAAACGCAAAAGAATTATTTAAATCAAACTTACCGCAGTTACGTCCAAAAGAAGTCCTATATGTACATATAATTTATTTTTGAATAAATCGTTATCATGACAATTTTTATTTCATTTTCTCAATTATGTTAGTACAATCGTTATTTTCTCGCGCAAATGACTTTGACATCTGACGTCACCACTTTGCCGGAATTTCATTAGTTCAGCAGGTAGTGAGTCACCATGTGGTAACTTCATATGTGTTCATTGTATGTGGGTGGATAGACGCCGTGCACGAGTTGCAGTAATTATACTTAACTAGACGCCTGACGTTAAACCGGTACAGCTTCGCTGCAGAGTAAACGTGGTGGATTACTGCGAAGCAGAAGATGCGCGGTAGTAATGGCCGCCACGTTACCATTCATATCATCTCGGATCACGTTTCAATATAATTAAATATTACATCAGATTAACATACTAATTGACCCACTTATTATTCGAGGTCCATGCATATAGTGCACTATACTGTTTACCTATGACGTTATGAATAATTCTTACGGCAAATATTTCTAACAATGTTTTTTAAAAATAAACAATGCAAAAATTAACCTCTTACAGTGCAAATCAATATATTTTATGTTTTAAGCTATAAAAATAAACTTATTTTTCACTCGAAACACTTTGTGTATCACGTACAGGTATTTCTTGATTAAAATTATCGACAGAGTCTGAGGTTCTCGCGAGTGTTTTACCAACTGGAGGTTGTTCTAACGTAGAAATCAAATTAACGAGCTAACTTCAGACGATAGAATACTTTTTGGATGATCCTTAATATTACCTGCTTTTACGCAAATAGGTACGTTCGTGAATTGTATATTTTTTGAATAATCCTAAATACGTTCTTGTACGCGAAAACAAGTGAATTCATATAAAGTTATTTATTATTACCAAGTCATCAGCCATGATGACAATGATGTGGGGTGGCAAATCGTATTCATTGGCGATGATCAAAGGGCACAGAAAAAAATAATACAAGAGGAAAGTGCTCCCGCTCACGAAATTTTGCACCATGGCCACACTTTGAGGTTAAGGTATGTGGTTTAATTTTTTTAAAATAATACCAAGATTCTCAGAGCATCGTGCACAAATGAAACTGAAGCTCCACTTCTATCAACGTGTAGCTTATATAGTCCGCCCCCGAAGTGAATGTATGAATGAACCTGAAGAAAATGAAGGCACCGAGAGCACTACGTAGATGCGGTGAATTAGTGGTAGAGAGAAAGGATAAAGAAGAGATGAAGAGGAGTGGATGATTTAAGTATAGAGAGGGATTATGATGATTATTGTAGCAATGAATGGAGCATGTACGTGTGGCCCTTCTCGTCTTACTCGTGAACTTATTTTCTTGCACGACACCTCCGTCATATTATCATCAACTATGCCAAGTATTACGAGAATATTCTTGTTTGCGGAAAATTAACATAATTTCGCATCCCTAAAATGGCGATCGTGTACCAGTTGGCTAAGACGGTTCCTTTAAGGAAATACTGTTTTTTGGGCAATTCCAAAAATATATTATTACTGCAGCGTTAACTAATTTTATTGGTAGTTCGACGATGCTTAAAAGAAACCAATTAAAACAGTTTTAAAAAATTTTTAGACGGAAGAAATTAAATTTGTGTAACGGACATTTCTAGTCAAATCTTACATATATATTTATTACTGAACATTCATGAGATTCGTATTAATTTCAATCAGAATTTATTGTTTATAGATACATAAATTAATGAAATTATATTGGACACGGTAACCTATTGATATCGAATCGGTCTTAATAGGAATACAAACTCATCCGATTTCCCAGATTGAATCGGATATCTATTGGCTTCTATTGATTTTAATCAAATTTTTTTAAACAAGATCTTACCCCATCTGCGCCTATGTGGCAATTATTTTGGAACTTTAGACTTCATTTGTAGTTTTAGGGATAATACTGGGTTATTAATCATATTGGGATATAGAATTATGCTTGAAAAGTAATTTTAGTCATTATGGTAATTAAAAAATATTGTTATCACATTGCGTACGGCGCTCTGCGCGGTTAACACGCGCTCAAAACCCGCACATTTTCGAGAACGAAACGAGAATCTCGAGATATCTCAAAACGATATATCTCGTGATCCGTCCGCAAAGTTCGAGTTGCTAAAAACGAGATATCTCGTCACCCCAACGCAATGTGTTAATGTATAATGGGGAGGAGGGTCATCAACGTTTAGGGCACGAAGTCTAATTTTGGAACTTAACTATAAAGTGAGGTCATTATTTTGGAGAACCCAAAATCCTCGCTCAGCACTATAAAGGCTAATAATGGTACTCCTAGTGACCTTATTAAAGGTACTTTCTCTTTGAATTATTCCTAGAACCTAGAAGATATGAAGGGGAGTCTCTTATAGTAATTGTAAGAAATTTGTAATTGGTTGAAAAATTCATTTCCGCACCCACGCGTTCATTAATTATCCTATTCTTTTCCTAATATTCAGAATGACCTTTGGATCACTGAGGTCCCAAAATTAAAGTCGCCGTCCAATTAATTGACCAGGAAAATTCGTAATCAACTATGAACCAACTGTGATCATCTAACAATTCTTTCAAGTGTTGTTCGATAATTTGATTGTCAACAAACAATATATGGTATATTACACAACGGTCATGAGTTCCATTCGGTTTGTGCCCCTGACTTATTCAAACGTACTTGGTCTTGTTTGTGCGGACCTTTTCACCAACTAAAGTTACGGTTAAAACTATGGAATACTCGGGGTCAAGGGGATTAAGTGATGTTAAGTAGAGATGCCGATTAGTTTATTTGCCGCTTCCTTGCCGATGTGTCCGGTATTATAACAATGTATTCAAGATAATTGATAATAAAAAAAAGTTATATACCAAGAAAATTGCAAAATTATATTTTTAGTAACATCTAGTTTACCGAGCTTCACCTTATTCTTTTATTTGCGGAATGGCGACTCGAACCATATGTCGCAAATGTTGTTGAAAATTAATGTTTTCGACTTTTTTGTTTAGTTCTGAGAGTATTCTACGTGTGTGTATGGCACAAACTCCGTTATTGTTGTAGGGAAATTATATTTATTTTTTACATAATAAATTACAGTGGGCGGTAAACCGAAGTACGTGTGTGGGCTTTCGTGAACGGAAATTCAAATAGCAGCTTGGCATTAGACTAAATTTATAAAATAGCCTGTTTGAACTGTAAGAGATTTAATGGAATGTTTTTCTTATTTAAAATACGAAATTCCATTACATTTATCTATAAAGAGACGTTCCATATAGTTTTAAGCTGTTTTATCGCGTTCTTACATCTAATAAGAAAAAATTGTCTTACATCAAGTGTAAGGTGTAAGCCGATACGTTTTCCAATGGCAAATTTTTCCAGAGTGATCCAATGTCATGTGGTTTACCTATACCTTAAACCTAGTGCAAGGATATTCTACCAATATAACATGCTATTAGATAAATAATTAAAACTTATCATGGATGAAATGATACAACAGTAGACTGACACCTTAGAACGATGATAAATTATTTTCATTTTTATGAGATTGCTTCATTATCGACAGTTGTTATGTGCACATTACAGTACAGTTTGTTCATAACACTTTCAGTCATTTTCATGGATGGCCCCACTTTGGCGGTTTTTTAATAAAGTAGCAAATTGTACTCGTAGAGTAGTTTCTTGTCCAACACAGTTGTTTTTTGCCATTGAATTTGAAGTCAGTGCAAGTTTATTAATAAATAAACCTTAAAAAATATTTTATACGTCAAGTATTAAAGCAATCTATTATAATAAACATTGATAAGCAGCGATATTAGGAAATTCATGTCCTTTATTAATGAGCAAATAGTATGTGACATTTTTTTGTAATAGTACTATTATATTTTCAATGTTCTCAAGAAAACAACAGTTGATTGATCGCACAGGAAAGGATGGAGTTGGACGATATGACTTTTTAAGACTTCTTGTGGTTGAATTCAACACGACCAAATCCCAAGGTAATATAACGTAACCTCAATTTCAATTTTTTTCAACAACAATATTTATATTTTTACCCAATTTTCATATCGAGTTGTGTCTTTATTGATTCACAAACTCATTTAACGTAAAAAATGATCTATCATGCTTTTACAGAAGCAAAGGAGCAGGTCCTGGCGAATCTTGCAAACTTTGCATATGACCCTGTCAATTACGAGTATATCCGACAACTGCATATCATTGACCTTTTCTTTGCTGTTATCACAGAAAATAATATCACTCTTATTAGATTTGCTATTGGTGGAATTTGCAACTTGTGCTTAGGTAATATAATAAAGTCCTTTATTTTTTTAAATAGAGGTTTATATTCCAATAACAATTTTTTACCTGCAATACCTACAATGTCCATTAAAACTAAATAATCCATCTCTTTATCGTATAATGTTAATTGTCATCTCAGATTTGAATTAATTTCCAGATCCAGAAAATAAGGCTTACATTATACGTAACAATGGGGTTGCATCAATTTTAACTTTATTGTCAAGTTCTGACGAAGAAACAGTTCTTTCTACAATCACAACATTAATTTTTTTGATAACTCCGGCTTCAAAATCTGAAATAACTTCAAAGAATGTTATTGAATGTATGACACGAATTTCTGAATCAGCAGGAAGCACACGACTCCGAAATTTAGCAACAGTTTTTCTAAACGATTACTGCAAAGAAAACGAACTTAGTGAAAGTACTGAGAAAGCACATATAATAACATAAATAATAATCAAACAGAATCTTAATCGGTTGAAATAAAATGTTACGCATATTCACAAATCAGGTCAAGAACTTTTGCACAAAAGTTCCATTAGAAAAAAATTCAGCTGAAGCATGGAAGAATTTTCAAATGGGTTCAAAAGTAACTGTTACTAAGACAATAACTGATGAAGACATTTTAAATTTTGCAAATTTAACCGGCGACTTCAATCCTATTCATACAAATTCTCCAAAAATTGTACATGGAGCCTTTTTAAATGGTTTAGTTTCTGGAGTGATTGGAAGCCATCTTCCTGGGCCTGGAACTATGGTGGTTCAACAAATCATACGATATCCTACAGCCTGTTATGCTGGAGATACAATAGAAATTACAGTAGAATTAGTGGCAGTTAGAAAAATCATTAAATGTCAGTACAAATGTATAGCAAATACTGAACGTACAGTGCTAGAAGGTGAAGCCAAACTAATCTATAGAAAACCAACATCAAAAGAAATAATATTTATTAAATGAAAACTAAATTGTTCCAAAACTGAATACTTCAATAATATAACAAATATAATGTTAATTAACAATGATAATAGTAAATGAATTTTTTAACATCACTAAAGTTACACTTGCAAGAAATTTCATATCGAAATCAATTTTTAATTAATTTTCTGATTACAAAGAAACTTTTTACTGGTAATCGAGGTGGCCCACATTGAACTGCAATACTGTTCTATTATATTTATTACGGAATTCCCGAGTAAGCGAAATAAATTATTGGAATGCAGCTGCAAAATTGCAAATCTACAGTCCAATGGATTTTGCAGTATAAGCGATACTTGCATTATTGACCCACTGTGTTTGCGAAATCATGGAATAAGAATAATACTTAGACGAACCAAGAGCCAAACGAAAATCGTACTTATCTCATTCGTGTGTCGTTCTCGTCACGCTCTAGGTGAGTTGAAACTTCTCTACCATTGTAATTAATTATTAATGAACGTGTCATATCAACTTTACTCTTAATTATATTCTGAGCTGTGTGTTCATAATTATACAAACCAGTTATACATTTTTAAAGTGAAATAACACCCAATCTGCAATTAACGAATATAAATTTCATTGTTAAATTATAGATATTCAAAATGCGTGCGGAACTATTTCTGGTTTTGGTTTGCACCTTGTACTCTGCTTATGCGAGTGAAGTTGATGACCTTAGTAATGGAACATGCTCACCTGCCGAAGCTCCTACAACAGAATTGCCAATTGGATGTGTTTGCGGTGTCTTTTTGAGTGGACAATTCAAAAAGGGTAGCAAGGAACAGCCAAAAGGAAATCCAGCTTTGTTGCATGAACATCCTGATACATTTGCTTGCACTGCAGTTGGGAACAAGCTGTGCACCAATAAATGTTTGGATATTGTAAGTACTATTTGACGTCCCTTGAGTCTCGTTGAACTATGGATTGCCCTTGAAATTAATAGTACTAATACAGTTGTCATTAATAATATAATTTTTATATCATAGATTGTCAAGCATCTACCTAACAGCCCAGCTATCTTATGTGGTTCGATCGATCGAGACTGTCATAAGGAGAGGGTAAGTAATAAAGAAATAAAATATTCTGTAATTAAGCAGTTTTAATTATTATCTCTATAAATATTGCAGGCGTATTTGTTTATTAAGAACTGTAAAGACGAATGGATCAACACAAATCTCTCTGCTGGTCGCGAATATTGCTGCAAAGACGGGATACCGTATAAATGTCCAATTTTGAGTTAATTTCAGAGATGCCATTAACAAAGAAAAATGACATATAGAATTTCTATTATTTGTACAATTGGTCTCCTTTGCAGTGACAATAATTTATTGCTTTATTAAATTAATTAATAATCACTCGATTGTCTCTTTTTTTTAAGAAATCCTTGTCGGGTCTATACCTAACTAGATAATTAGTTTTATTATTTTATATATACATGATCAACCAGAAGATTAGTTATTACAATAATAACGAAACCAAATTAACAACAACAGTTCAATCACCCAATTTTTTCAGTATACAATATTTTGTATTAACTAGTTTCCTCTTCATCTAATATCCGTAATCCACTACTCTATTCCGTCGAGCATTTTCTTCGAACGTCCCGCCTACAATCTAAAATTAACTGAAGATCGTCGCCTACGCCAGCCAAGAAACCACTGCCAGTCAGTTTCAAGACAAACAGCCGAAGGCTCATTCGTACGTCGTAAACGCACTGAGGGGATGAATATTCGTCATTCTTACTCATAAGAATTAAACCGTTATCGATTAACAGAATTCAGTTCTTGTGTATTCTCTTCCGCACGCCCTCTCAAGTAATTTGGACCAAGTTCAGCGACAATCTTAATAAGTGAAAATATATTCTGATATTTAATTTTAGAACGGTATTCGTAGGCACGGTACTGCTAAATTAAATTGCCAAATTTTCATTTCATCCACCGCTGTAATTTATTCGTATCGATTCGAACTTACTTTCACTTTGTAATATGACATATACTGAATTATTTTTATTGTATTTAAAGTTGCTCACATTTCTCTCTTCTTAGAGCGTCCTTTTACCCGAATTAAAATAGTGGTATAACATATTTTTACAACCACAGACGCTTCGATACTTCACTGACGACAGGATGATATTTTGGCATTTAAATATTTGTTCCAAACCATGAAAAATAGGGCATATAAATGACAATAATCTTTTTTTTTAATCCGTGTAAAAAAATGATTAATTATACGAGACGATATTCATCTATAATTTTATACCTACTACTTGGTGAAGTGTCACAATTAAATTGTATATTTTAATTAATTCATGTGTTTAATTAAATATCGTGCGTAATTCTGAATTATCATCTAGACTCCAGTTTTATAATTTAAAAAATGTGTGAAAGACTCTTATCATGTCCACTTTGTTCCCAAGCAAGTTTTCCAAACTTGGACTCTCTCCGCGCTGGTCTAATAAGCGTAGCTACGCGGCCTTTAATTTGTCCAGTTTGCAACGAAGTTCTTCGCGGAATTGATAAACTAACCATCCACTTATTCGGCCATACAATCACAGCCAACAATGGACAAGCTAAAATCATCGATGCGGCAGCGGACGTGGGACCGGATCAACCTTGGGCTCCAAGACCTTCAGCGGAATTGGATGATGTTCAGACTACAAGAGAAATTGAAATATCTACAGTACCTGGACTGCTTAACGAGGAACTTCCGGCTAATCCAATACCAAATGAAAAATTAATACAAAGACCAGAATTAACCAAGAATAATCAACTAGTCAAGACTAATGATTTGGTTGAGACCAATCACGTTATCTTTCTTCAAGATTTAACGCAACTGCATCAAGTTTGTGTTTTGAGTCAACCCGAATGTAGCACAACAAACGTTAATCTATCCTGTCAAGGAAACCTTGAACAATCACAACCAACTGGAACTGTTCAACTAGTTCAAGCTGTACAACCTGCTGAAAGCTTTAAAGCAGTTCATGGTAGGCAAGATCAGAATACACAATTTTCATGTCCTAACGACACTGATAACAGTACTTCCATTGAGTATCAACAGTCCAATACGGTAGACCAGAATAATCCAACTGAATATCAAGAAACATGGATGGAAGCTTTATCAACTTGTGCCAGATCTCAAGAATCTGTCGTGTGCCAGGAGGGTGATACAAGAAATAATGATCAGCAAGCGTCTACAGAGCCAGTGAAGCTTACGGATGAAACGTCTGGGAATCATGCGAACGAAGAACGTGCGCTTCAAGTTACAGAGTCTCAAAGTAATGAGAATTCGCAAGACGCCACGAAGAAAACGAATGTCCTACCACAACTTAAAGCCTTTTGTCTTATCGCTACTAAGGAGAAAACCGAAAGATGTAATATCTGTGGATTCCACTTCCCTGATCGGAATATTCTTCAACTTCACAAACAGCTGGTGCATATGATTGATGAGAAGGATCTCAACAGCTCGTTGGATGATTTGAAAAATTATCCCTGTCACTTGTGCTCCAAGGTTTTCAAAATGCGAGGCAGCCTTATGGTTCACATGAGAGTCGCCCATACCGGATATAACTTAGGTAACGTCTACTTTTCAACGTTTGCTAAATATTATTTTATCCTCTTTGTTTATCTGTTCGTTTAGGCTCCTTACGAAAAGAGGGCGAGACGATACCGACTCTTGGTGATAATGGATACAATTGTCCAACGTGTGGAAAAAATTTCAAAAAGGTATCAAACTTTTTTGTTGTTCGACTTTTGGATTTTTATAGATAAGACTTATTTAACGAAACATATTTTATAGGAACAACATGTTACGCAACATTTAAAAACGCACGAGGGCAAACAATGGGAGTGCGACGTGTGTAGCAAGATGTTTACGACAAAGTATTTTTTGAAAAAGCATAAACGACTTCATTCTGGTGAAATGCCTTATAAGTGTAATTTGTGCGACAAAACTTTTACCTTTCAACAATCGTACCACAAGCATCGACTTTATCACAAGGATGACAAGCCGCACTCCTGTAACACCTGTGGTAGATCCTTCAAGGAACTCTCGACTCTTCATAATCATGAGCGAATACACACTGGAGAAAAGCCTTTTGCCTGTGAGACCTGTGGTAAATTTTATTATGTGTCTTTTGTGTGGTTTCGGTAACAGACGTGCGCTTTGTTTTATTTCATTTTTTATTTATAGGATAACAATTAGTTATTGCAAGTTCTTATACTATTGACAAATGATTGAACGTTTTATTTTACAGCGATACTAACGGTATAACGAAATGCAAAGTCTGAGGGATTGTGTGTCTTAATATATTCATGTTTGATGCATGAGTTAACATTATGTAATGGTAAGTATTTTGATATTTTTCAAAATCATTACGAATATCATTTTGTCATTTGCAAAGTTCAAAAAGATTGATACTTTGTATTTTGGTGTTTCTGACAGTACGTAATATTTTATGGAATTTTATATACGGAAAAAGTATACTGGTCCGTATTATTTGTGCATGAAACCGATATCGAAACGTAATAAATATTGTATAAACTTTTCCAATAAAATATGATGTACTCTTAACAACAATACTCATTGTCTGACAGGAAAATGTTTTCGGCAGCGGGTTTCTTATTTAGTTCATCGTAGAATTCACACAGGAGTGATGCCCTATAAATGTACAGCGTGCGGAAAGAGTTTTCGATACAAGGTAATATATTATTTTATTTAAAAAAAATATATTTTTATATAACTGCCAACATAATGTATAAATAATTTTAAAAAATATAGGTTAGCCAACGAACCCACAAATGCCCAGCACAACCACCTGGAACGGTAGTTCATCAGACGGGAAATCTCGTTAATCGTTTGTTACAAATATCGCAACCGGAATCAAGTGAAATTTCACCAAAAGCTACTGAAGATCATCAAACTGCAAATTTCGTTCCAACCGAGGAAAATAAGTTTGTGCTGATCTTAAACGATCAGGGTCAGCATATTCTCACTCGACAATCTGATCTTGAGCATAATGGAAAAGACAAAAAGCAAATTGCATCAGACGAGTGTGAAGACGAATCATTAAGATTTTCAGAACCGGGTGAATTTATTAAGAATTTATGGGGTCATGAGATATCAAGTGCAACAACGCTGAAGGAGTCTATAGAAATTTCTTCCAAGGATAGTCCACGAGGTTCTAAATCGGACACTGACGACTTTTTAAATATGGTTGGTCTTGCTGATAACGATGCTGCTTCACCGTCAACAGAAATGGAACATTTGCGACTATCGTCACCTGGAAGTCATCAAGACAATTTAATAGAAACATGTGAAATTGGGACGTTCGGTCAAACCGAGCAGACCAACGTCCGTGATGATTATTCTGACGTGATTTCCACTAATATTAGTTGTACGTTACATACTATTAATGAAGAATCACTAAAGCAATTATTGTATGGGACTGATACCAGACAATAGCAGTGATAGAATACATTTAAAAGAATGACAGGATTTATATCTTTTAAAAAAGTATTGAACAGGGTAAAAAGAATGTGACAGTATATTTTATTATCAATATTTTTCGTTCAACAAAGATTGTATGTTGGTTAATGGTCGTTCATTATCACTAATGACACGACATTTTATGATAAGTTTTACTTATATGTCGCAATTAATTTCCAGTTCTGCAACAGTAACACATTTCATAATCATTTAAAAAGAAAGATTAGCAAATTTATATTTTTTAAGTGGAATAACATATTTTTTAAATGATTTTGTCTAATTTTGAAAGGAATTTTGAAGCGTCTAAACCACAAATCCCGTAGCGATATGATAACAGATAAAAATCAAGGATAATAGAAAAGCAAAGTTATTTCCTGCTGGAATGCTTAACTTCAAGAAGGATTGGTATATAAGCCTCCCTGTGTTGGGCGCGTCGGGGTCAATGCCCTGGAAAAGAAATTCTTCCGTTGATAACAGAGCTTAAAATTGAGGATTTAAGAAAAAAACACCTTGGAACACGATAATCGAATACAATACAATGTTTATGTCGATATGATATGCAGAAAATTAATGAATACGTTGCTTATATTTACAAGATTCCAAATATGGTCATCATCATTACTCCATTAGTAGAGAATCGGACGCCATTTGTCAAGAAGTCATATCGTCATAATCTTACGAAATAATAGATTGAATGGTAAAATTATCAAAGAACACAATTGAAGTATAATGATATTAATTAAATAATAAAATGTTACCCGTTCAACTAACTAATTACCAAGATACCCGATGAAAGGCGCATTCTTGAATTACCAAGTAAAACCTATTTCCATTCGAACTGCCGTTCTACTCCATCTTGAATTCGCCAACCAATCAGAATGCTTCATAACGTTAACGCCATCTTGGTGAGAACTCGTAATAGACGCAGGTTAGGAAAACTTCATAGACTAACCTGTGAAGTCGATAAATGCTGGTCAGAATATCTCGATAGCAGACGACACTTGGTTCGACTTGACAGCTCACTCTGTATTTTCACGTGTCTACCATCGGATCTCGTTGCGTAACTAAAGTCCGTGTTCCAGGGAGGAGCTCCCCATTTCGGTGAGTGTTAAACCTAGAAGTAAAGAGAAATCAAATTCATCACAAAATCTACATCGATCGTGCAATAAAAACCTATCGATTTTGTGGGGGCGAACTTGATTTGCTGGCCTGACACCGTCGACGAGTACAAAACTCGGTTATCAGCAACCAATTAGACTCCTTGAGTCAGCGTTGTTAACCAATCATATGCTCTGTAGCCGACCTGTATGCGACAGCTGTTACAACATCGGTGTTGCCACACTTCTTGCCACACATGCCTTTTCATTCCAGTATCTGAAATAACCTGACATTCAATCCTTCGCGCATCTGGAAGTCGAACTATCGACTTTAAAGTTTTTATTTGAAATCGGCCGGTTAACGAGTCACAATTTGTAAATATACAAGGTTTTATGAAAATATTACGTTTATTTGTTATTTCGAATAATGCGCCATTTATTGGTGGTTTATATTGTTTATTCACAATAATCTAGAAACAATTATTGACAGTTGTCTGAAGGGATACTCGCCAATAGACATTGGATGCAATAATAGATAACGAATAAATTGTAAAATATTTAATAAGATATAATAAACTTCAGATACGCACATGATGCACACTTGCACGTTTTCTATTTTCAATTTATGCGTGCGTCCCGCGTAAACATTATATCACTCCTCAGTCAATACAACAGTTGTATTTGCACAAATGGCGCATTACAATTTCATATCATCAGTTGGTATTACTAATTTCAAGTGGATCATTAGTAAAGTATCTGCGAGCAGTGGGAATTAATAATCCTCGTTGACAAGTATAACACAATGCATATATTTATATTTCTTTACAAGTCGTACACTCAACGTTATTAATGCTAGACTTACCGACTGAATTTTCCTATTTAAAGTACACGAGTGGTGCAGAAACAAAATAGATTTAGGGGTATTAATGATACTGAGTAGACAATTTGTAGATAAAACAGTTTGTATTTACAAATACCGTTGTAACATACATATGTATATCCACTCAAGCTAAACCTTTATAATTCTGTTAATCAATTTAATCTAAACGTTCTCATAAATGATCACACTTTATCGATAAAGTAATCCTATACTGGAAGTACTGGAATAATCGTTAATGAAAAAATGTGTTGTCATCTATTTACAGCATTGAGTTATAAAATTCTACTAAATTGACGAAGCTGGAAGAAAATCCAGTAACCCTTTTTATAACTTCAATTTTCTACGTCCTGTCGGTAAGGTAGTTTCATTTAGTGAAAATCGCGAGTATACCCGATCGTCTCCGATCGAACATACGAAGCACTTCGAGTCTTGAAATAGGCGGAGCTTACGAATCAAATAGCCAATCAGATAGCTCAGAATATGTTATACGCGCACAAGTCGGTGCGTAAGTGCGTAATCAGAGGGCGCGCGGTGCAATCGCAGCTGAATATGAGACGAAAAATTCGATAGTGTGAAACGGACATAGACCGCTTACAAAGGAGCAAAAGAGAAAGTGAAAGAAGAGTGACCGAGATACGAGGGAGAATCTGAAGCTCGGCCCGTCGGTGAAGTGATAAGGGGGCAGTCGTAGTCAGAGAAGGACTCGTCGGAGGGAGATTCGGGGTTAGAAGTAGGGATGAGAAGGAATAAAGACAGACTGATGAAATGGGAATGAGAATGAGAAAGTGAGAGGTCGACAGTGGGGTGCACAAGAGTGACAGAGGGCAAGAGGGAAAGGCAACTCGGCACTCGAGAATCTCGCGTGCGAGAAGAGAGAAGTGTACTGAGTGTACCTGTGCGTGCCTGCTGTGCACAGCCGTGCTGCTTGATCAAAACGGACCAAACGTATCAACCTCAGAACGACCGCGATGCCCCGTGCACGTTTTTACGAAATTCAGGTAAATCCTGTCATACCTGCATTCGATGCACTTGCTTAATATGGTGGATAGGCCCGTGGATTACACGATAAATGAGTCCCTGACGAGGAGACCTCGCGGCCTCCATGTTTCCTCAAAGCAAATGGTGGCCAGCCACCTCGACTCGGACTTCTTTGTTCCATCGTATGCACTACGACACAATATTCCTTTTTCACGCAAACGAGTTAAACGATTGTTACGGAATTGGCTATGCAGGGTAAACCAGACGTTTTATCGCGTTAAACTTCTCGACGTATCTTGCTTGCGTTTCCTTTCTGTGTTTGTTTTGGTTCTACGACGGGCACTGGGACATCCTTGGCTGTGCAGGGTCTTTATATTGCTCTTTGGTGCATCGTATGTCGTTTAACGGGTTTCTACGAGCTTGTGGAATTTATAGTTTTTCGAGGTTATCTGGGTTCCTTCGGTTCCTCGATCGAGTTGCATTTTTTGTGGATGTTTCAACATTTAATATTTCCAGGGGTTTTTAAAGATCGTCGAACCCTTCTTAGGGATTTGATGTTCGAAAGTTCGGTAGAAAGGAAGCTATTTAAACTTCTCAGTGATTCACAGGATTTTTTTTGGTATATATTATAACCATGATTTTATTGTACTTTTTTGCCATGTCCTATTCGATTTTTTTATATTTTTGACAGATCATTATACTTCAGATTTCGAGTCTTGTGTTTTTTAAATTCTTAATTTTCTATTAAAACTTTTAACTGTTTAAAAAGTAGTGTATGGCTTTCAGTATTTTATGCAAATTTAACAATTTTCAGGTACTTATAGATTTTGCATCTTATGGAATTTAATATTTTGTGCTGTAGAAATTCATTGATTTTTGGTACTTCTCATACTTCCCCAACTACAGTTTAATATCCTGTGAATCTTTTATTTAAATTATGGTGGAGTTCTGAGTAGAAAACAAAGTGCTTTGTTCATATCAATATTTCTTGAAGTCATTCGAAGTCCATTGTTTCATCATATGTGGTTTAAATCAATTTTATATTTTGAATAGATTGATATAAATAAATTAAATTATCAAATGATCTTGAGTATATGATACAATATATATATTTTAAGTCTATCTCAACTGATATTCTTGATAGCTTTTTTTTCTTGCCTAACTTATGAAAATCCTAAAATTTATTAATAAATGGTAATATGCACAGTAAGTCAGTGATATAATATATTAACTTCATGTTTTACTCAATGTAATTGTATTGTATTATTACAAAAAATATGTATGTTGCATAGAATTTCATATTTGATGAATCGTTGTTTGAAGTTATCTACTTTATAAAATTGACAATTTAGTTCTGCTATAATTATATTGTAGTATTTTATAATTCTATCAATTTTCAGAAATAAGTTGATGTATTATAGTTAAAAAAAGAAATAATGATTTATGATAAGTGATTCTCATTCTTCTATTATACATGTAATCTATAAGTTCGTGCTTCATAACAATGCTGATCTGTCAAAAATTGTTTCTTTGCAGACAGAATAGTGGCATGAGTCGATTAATCTATGGCAGATCAACAAGATCAGTCGTCGTCCGGGGGGTCTGTAGAGAAGGACAGTGCTTCAGCAGACACCTCTAAGCTAAGGGAAAAGACCTCGGGTCTAAACGACGGCGGTGGTGGAGGCAGTGGTAGCAGTGGAGGTGGTGCTGGTACTGGTTACAGAAAACGACAGAGTAGTGGTACAATTTCTACAACAACCTACGAAGAAAAGCGTCGTAGACAAGCCGTCGGCGAGGTTCCTCAACCTTCCTCTCAGCTTCTTCACGGAACGTCGACGCATCGGCGCTCTGTAGATTCCTCCAGAGGCGAGGCCAGGGCACGGGGCGAGCGTAGAAATCATGGCACTGGCCTAGGAGCTCTGTTAGGTCAGTTGCCTCACAAGGCTTTGTGTTATTAAAATATTGCTGTGCAGTTGACACTGTTTTTCTTTTTTCTGATAATTATATATTGCTTAATGAGATAGATATTTTAAGGCCTTGTATAACTTTCATTACATCATTATTTATTATATAATATTGTATCATTAGGAGTGCATGTAATTGTGAATTATCACAACTGAATCATCAACTACTCTTCTCTCGTATTACTTTTAAACATTAACTGATTGGTACGAGAGTAATTGCCATTTTTATTGAATAATTGAAACATTTAATTCTCAGTAGTATTGTATAACAAAGGATCATAAGGTAATATGTTTTTATTTTTTTACAGATACAGACTGGAGACAGCAGCAAAAGTCTCAAGGGTGTAATATTGGTGGAATAACTAGCAGTAACAATCAAATAGGTGTTGGTGGAGGGAATAGTGGACGTAGCAGTGCTGCAGCTGGTGAACGAGGAAGAATAAGTCTACCTGATTTAACGTCCACACCAGTGATAGATTGCGTTGCATCTAGGACTCGATCCAGGACACCACAGAATTCACAAGCAGCTATAGCACTCGAAGTATCTTTCGGTACATCCAGAAAATCTACTGGAAGTTCATTGTTAGCCACTGGCCACCCTTCGACTTCCAGAGGCAAAGGTCAGTATTTTATTCTTCTGTTGTTTCCACATAAAGATTTATTTTCTTGACAAAAATCTTAAAAATCTTACTAGTTAGTAGATTCAACAAATAAACAGATTATATATTAGGTCTATATACCTAGGTCAATTGAAGTGCAAATAAAAATACATTTTTTTTCCCCCCTAAAATCGCACATTACTGCACGATAATGAGTGATCTTAAAATAAATTTATATGTAGATTATAATTATTTGCCTTACTGTTTTCGTCCCGAATTTTTTCTTGACTCGCAATGAGCGAAGAGCCGTCTTATTTTAAGAGGCTGTTGGATTCTAAGAAGAAGTGGCCGTCTGGATGAATGTTGATCAATAACATAAGATGCGCGATAGGTTTTACATTATCGTAGACTCATTTTTTACTTAATTATTCGAATTAGTGTCCGATAACATTATACTTGGAAAAGATTCGACAAAGGATAGCCTCCCAATTTCTAATTTAATTTTCAGTGAATTTGTTTAGAACCACATTATTAATGGCAAAAATTAGCATACTAATTAATCGAAATGTCATAGTTCGATCTGAATCTCATACGTTTACCACGTATGTGAATATCGAAACAGAAAAAGTAGTTTTAACTTTTCTTAAAACATTAAGAAACACAGGAGTCACTGCAAAAAAAAAACAAGTGTTATTTGTTGCCCTTAAGATAAAAGAGGAGGAATTGCGATTTCAGATAAATCCTGTTGCATTCGTCTTAGCACGATTTTTCACTAACTGCTTAATTAAGTAATATGTATGCTAAACATTCCCTCATAAACACTAGAAACACTTTGTCTAATGGATCGTACTAGTAATTGACTTTTACTAAAGCGCTACGCTGTTCTTGGTTTAAAAGAAAATATGCTATTTATACAAATGTTAATGCCACAATAGTGATAAGGAAACTTAGTATCCATTATCATATGCACCACATGGTACTGGCTGTGTATTAGCTGTGCAGTCCTCACAGATTGCTGCCGCGTAGTAAACTTTAAGTTCTCAGACAGCTTTATCAGAAGCATTCGATATGTTCATTCAGTTATCTCTATTTGATAGAGAAGTATTGGCTAGCTAGGAACAATTTCTTTATGTTACGTAAATGACAGTTTTTCATTTTATTGCGCTTTAAAAACTTTTCCATACGAGTGCCTGCGAGTTTTCTTTTATACAAAGGATCGAACAGAATTTCTTGTAAATTGTTGCCATTACTCAGGACCTCGTGAGTGACTTGCAAGAGTTCTGAATGACAGAACACCAAGTGCATTATCCTAACGAGAATGACCTTCGAAATTTATCGCAAGTGACAGTTGTTTACGAAAAAAAAATAAAAAATCTTTTGTCAGTATATCAAGTTCAATAGACTTGGTATCTATATTTAGAAATGAATCAAGTGACAGAGTGGTTGTGTGATTTTCGAAAATTCCTTTATTATACTATCTGATTCACGATACCTCGTGGTGATAGTGGCGTTAAGTAATGGGTGAATTTCATTTATGACGTATTTCACAAAGGCAATTGTGCTCGTGAAGTCCAGATATTGTGATGTTTTCTTATTTGCCAAGACGGAATATCAGACGTAGCCGTAAATCAAGAAACAGCAACATCTTCACTGATTAGACCGCGCAGGCATTTCGACACACAAGGCGGCAGACAGTCTGATAAATGAAGTTGAGGGTAACGATCATCTTTTTAATGGGAAGGATGTGACAGCGAGGTCCTCGTGGCAATTTAAAGTGTTGCGCGATTCAACTTTGACAAGACATGCGCGGATGGTGCGGTTTGTGATAACACAAGATAACAGCGCGATACAAAACAGTCGTACCGTTAAAAATTATTAGATTTCACTAGCCAGTCGGGTTGTCTTGTCCCTCTTGTGCCGAGTTTACGCAAGCGACTGTATAGTCGGTGAGTTTCTGCCAATAATTTAAGTTGGCGGTTCTGCTGCGATAACTCGTTTATGAATATTGAATGACAGCGCACTTATAAGGACGTTTTCGATGACTCCAAAAGTGACGAGGTGTCTTGTTGAAAATATATCGATATGCTTTTCTCTTATCCACATTGGTGAAAGTCCAACATACTCGAAGCACACTTGGCTTGCATTGTTAATGAGAATTTTCTGAAAGATAAATCAGCCCAAATGACGAGAGCGCATTATACATTTTCTGGTAGATTTAAAATGAACTTTAGTTTGGTTTTCCAAGTGACGTGCGATCGATAATTTTTTTTTTATGCAGCGGAGAATCGTATTTTTTGCACAAATGAAACTTACTGTTTATAAGTTAAAGAAGCTTCGTTCTTTGTTTCGGTACCGTCAAACGAAGCTGCATATACAAATAATTTTGTGTATATATTAATAAAGTCATTGTGAAATATTGGATGTTATTATTGCTGGTTAAAATAATTGTTATTCGTATCTTAGGTAGAATTGATAAGTGGATTTTGATGTCTTTCAGGTTCGAAGTCACAGAGTTTGGGGAGCTGCTCAGTTGGCAGTGCGAGTGGTCAGGTATCGGGTGTGAAGTCCAGCATCAGAGTGGGTAACGCAGCCAGCAACTCTGTGGAGAGCGGCGGGGCGGCGTTGGCACATGACGGGGCAGGCACTAGCGCAGCAGCAGCAGCAGCTACAGCCACCGCCAACCCGCCCAGCGTCAACCTCTCCGCCACAGCCACAGCAGCCATATCCACATCCAGTCCTGGTCCACCTATAGGATCCAATAATCCTTCGTCGCAAGGAACATCCTCTGCGCAGCAGTCATACCCCACGCACAAGCACCTACTGCGATCACGTGGAAAACTTTCTGCAGATCCATTGTTCAAGGATCTTTCATCGACTAGTAAAATTCCTGGCAAGCATCACAAAAAAGAATCTACAACGGGCTCCTGCTCCAGCTCCAGGTAATCCTTTACGTTTAGGTTCTGAAGGGTACAAGGATAGGCGGGCTTATGGCCCGAGTCTTCTATTGCTAATCATTCATTGTGGTTTTATATCTTTTATTCATTTTCCTCTTTTCTAATTGAAGACATCGCTCCTCTTCGCGGGCGAGGAAATCCCTGGTGGAGGGTGGTTCTGGAGGCGCAGGAGTTGCGATGTCAGGAAGTGAATCGGCAGCCAATAGCGCAACGCCTACCTCTGTTTCATCATCCGCCCCAGGTAGTCAACTTACTTCTACTACCGGCGAAGAAGAATCTGCGTCTACCGCTACCTCTGCTACAGGTGAGCGTGGATATTTTAATTAATTTTTGCGTGGAATTTATCCAGGTTATGATCACAAGTTCGATAGGAATTGTTCTCTTTCCTTACCTCCTGTGTCGCCTGCATCTGCTCCACTTCCGCTATCTTTTATTGCTTTAACTTTTATAAATTTTCAACTTTGGAGAAATTCCATGGAAGCCAAGTAACTTTTTTCAATTTTCAAGAATTTATTTAATTCAGATCAATAATGTTCTCCAAGTTCTTAATCCAAAGTTTTTACAACTTTTAATGATTAATATAGCTAGTGGAGGGCCATCTGGAATGTCGGGAACTACCGGTGACAGCGAAAGCGACGATGGCGAAGTGGGACGTCTTCAGGCACTGTTGGAAGCTCGCGGTCTTCCGCCTCACGTTTTTGGAGCTTTGGGACCTCGAATGCAGCATTTACTAAATCGTAGTATGGGTGCCAGTTCGGGTAAGACTGAATTCTAAATCCAGCCTGCGGCGACGTTTTCCTAGTCTACATCCGTGCATACGTTAAATTCTTATTGCCTCTTTTAAGGAGACAACTTAGAATTTGCTCCTAAAGCTAAATTTATGTCTTTAAAGATGACTTTTGCATTCTCTTCAACTATCACAATGAACATTATACTTATCACAGTATTCTCCGATTGTTAGGGTCAATGTTTTTGCAAGATTTAATGACCATTAGAGAATCAGCTACGTTCCGACATTCAGTTTCTCTGTATATTAATTAAATTTCAGAAGCATATCTTTCTTTTTGTGTATTAAACCGTGCAGAGATCGGTACTAATTTATTTGTAATTTTTTAACAGCTGCGAAAGCTCAGCAATTACTAGCTGGTCTTCAAGCTGTTGACGATGAGGGTGAACAATTACAAGCGGTGATTAGTATGGGAGAAATCTTGGTGATGGGCAACGAGGACACTTTGACGGGTTTCCCAGTGAAGCAGGTTGTTGCGGCCTTGATCAATCTTCTGGGCATTGAGCACAATTTCGTCATTATGACACACGCCTGTCGTGCGCTCACCTACATGATGGAAGCCTTACCAAGATCTTCCACTGTTGTCGTCGACGCTGTGCCTGTATTTTTGCAAAAACTTGAGTCGATCGAATGCATGGACGTTGCCGAACAGTGTCTCACGGCCTTAGCCATGCTTTCCCGAAGACACAGCAAGACAATCCTCCACGCGGTATGTTTATTCTGTTATTTTTTATGCCTCTAAATAGCAGAGTACACTCTTGCTTTACTCTTTCGATTTTTCTCACACGCTCTTTTTAAAATGGTGTTACCTTTTGTCATTATTTTGATACATTTAACAAAGGACTTTAGACGGATTCGTAACTTCATAATTTTTTTCTCTGGTTACGCATTATTTTTATAAATTGACGAATTTTTATTCTTATCTCAAGTGAAATTTATACAGTTGTGTTGTGATCCCGATGCTGTATCTTGTTATTAAGTTTCATTTTTATTTTCGAGTGCAATCGACTGTACCATATGACTGAAAGACCATTCAGGTGTTGAAATATTTTTGTTTCCTTTTTTACTCTCTTAGGGAGGAGTTTCCGCTTGCTTGAAATTCGTTGACTTCTTCAACATAACTGCTCAGCGCGCTGCGCTTACAATCACTGCTAATTGCTGCCAGAATCTTCATCCAGATGATTTCCACTTGGTCGCTGACAGTTTGTCTCTGCTTACGGGCAGACTGGCCAATCAAGACAAAAAGAGCGTCGAATGTGTTTGCCAAGCATTCAGTCGTCTCGTTGACAGCTTCCAGCATGATCCTGTTATGTTGCATAAGATCATCAATGCTGAGCTACTGCAAAATCTTCAGCAACTGGTAAGTTCACAATCATTCAGCATGACGCGACAACTCATATCGTGAAAATCTTCAACAACAAAAAAGAGAAATTAATAACGTGCTTAAAGTGATACAAATACGAGATACTACAATTTAATTTTCTCAATTTCAGCTAATGATTACACCTCCTGTAAACAGTATTGGCAACTTTATAACCGTACTACGAATGCTTTCTGTGATATCAAACCGTTGCCCTGATCTCGCGCAACTGTTACTGCAGCAAAATATTGCGTTTACGCTAAGCTACTTGCTAACGGGTTCGCTAGAAGTGAAAACTGAGGACGTTGAGCTGGTGCCCAGGTCGCCTCAGGAATGGTATGAGATAACCTGCCTCATAGAGGAGCTCATGCCTCCTTTACCAGCCGATGGAATATTCAGTGTAAATAGTCTCCTTGAAAGAACAAACAATCAGCAAGAAACCGTTCACTGGGAATGGCGAGATGAAAGACATTGCTGCCATCCTTTCAGCACTATAGACTCAAGAATCATTGAGGTACGACAATAAATAAGTTTGATTCATTTAATTATTGATATTGTTCTTTTGTTTCTAAATAGATAATTTGATAGAGGTGAAATAATTGATCTACATTTGTGTAGATGGCTTTTCAAAATGGAGAGGATGAGATCTGCCTATCTACTTTGGGCAGGACTTATACGATAGATTTGACTGTCATGAAACAAATCAATGAGGATATCGGCATGGCTCGCAGTATCTTCCGCAGAGTCAACGCCAATCCTACTGAAGGAAAAAGTCCGAACTGCTCATCCAGGTATTAAACGTTGTTTCATAACTTGTAGCAAATAAACCCACATATTACATCTCTAATTCAACTAAGTTCCATTGACATCATCACCGATATTATTTTCAGTATGGATGTTGTACCACCTGTGATGGAAACCAACGAATGGCTTGTGTCTTTCATTAGAACATTATTCTCAGTACTCTATGAAGTATATAGCAGCTCGGCAGGGCCAGCTGTAAAGTGCAAGTGTCTCAGAGCTCTGTTGCGAATGGTATACTATGCCTCCACAGATCTCCTGAAGGTGAATTAAATATTTTGAGAAACTCAATTAATTTATAAAACTTGAATGCTTATAGAACTTTATATTCGATGACAGGATGTACTGAAGAATCAGGTGGTGTCATCGCACATAGCCGGTATGTTGGCTTCACAGGATCTAAGGATAGTCATCGGAGCTCTGCAAATGGCCAGCATTCTCATGAAACGGCTACCGCAAGTGTTTGGGGTTCACTTTCACCGAGAAGGAGTCTTGCATCAAGTCCGACAACTTGCTGATCCAGAAGTACCCCTTGGTGTGTCACCACCTAAGTGCCCTTCTGGTAAGTATATTAAAAATTTATATACATATATTTGATAGTAACGTGCCATTTGTTATTAATTTTGTACAGGTACATCGTTGCCTAGTCCACAACCAGGTCCGTCGAATACGCCATTGTCATCAACAATGATATTGTCATCCAGTAATGCCACATCACCAGTTGCTTCACCAACAACCAATGGGAACATTCTTTTTGGGGCCATCGCCACTAGCCAACTAAAGCCTAATTTGGCCGCTACAATGGAAACACGAAACCGAACCGATCTGACCGTCAATCCCGAGGAAACGACAGCTCAGAGTGCCTACTTGTGAGTATATCTCCCTCAGGATTATCCAAATCCATTCATTTCTAGTAACTTGTATTATCTTTAACAATTTCAACATAAATATTGTAAAAGTTTGTTCGCAAGAAAATTCCTTCGTAATGCATATACAATATTTATATAATCACGATGCATAGTCGATATGATGGTGAACATACATATTTTTTTAAAAATACAAAAAAAAAATTATACCCGTTGCCTAGAAGGATCGGAGACGTACTGAAGCGAAAGCGACAAAATAAGAAAGGTCGTTTCTCGAGATTGGGTAGCAGCACCACACCGAGTCAACAGGCTCAGCAACCTGAATCTCTGTTCACGGGTTTCACGCCGAAGAACAGTCGTTTTTTGGGCAATTTGAATCCAGCTCGTTGGGGCAGAAAGTCATCCTCATCGAGCGGTACCAGCGATAAGAGAGACTCTAGTTCCACAACAAATCTAGCCAAACCACCAAGTAATCCGAGTCTCACCGGTGGAAATCGTGACAAGGCAAAAGCTTGGGTCAGGGAACAGGCCTCGCAATTCCTAGCTAGATATCAGGATGACGCGCCATGTACTCATCCAGCTCTCACTGTTCTTGCTAGACTTACTGCTGCCATACAGCGACTTCAATCTAATGTATGTAAATTATCTTACTGTAAGTTCATAGAGGACAGGTGAATTTAAATTCGATTCTTTCTCGACAGGAATTGGATGAAATGCTCTCAGCTCTTACTGAACTCCGTGATATTGTTCTGGAAAGTGATATTTCACCTTTTGAAATGAATTATAGCGGCCTTATCAAGGCACTTCTCAACTACCTAACGACTACTGATGCTCCTGGTAATCGATATGATCGGTTACGTATGTTCTGGAAGCTATTCGCTGAATCGAGTGTGAGTGCAGTTGAATCCATATGTGTATATAATACGAATAGAGCATGTAAGTGTATGAGTAATTGTTGTATTTGCAGCTCCAACAGGATAATAACGTGATGAATCTAAACCCAGGGGCATTTGGTGCTCTCGTTGCAAAATTGAACAGCTGTGTAGCACAACTTGAACAATTCCCGGTGAAGGTTCACGATCTGCCAGCTGGCTCAGGCGCTGGCCGTGGTGGCACGAGCGCTCTCAAATTTTTCAACACTCATCAACTCAAGGTTTGGTTATGTGAAATAATTGATCTTGCATAATAAAGCAAATTCAAGACTCCTGTATACAGATTACAATTTGCAAATAGACAATTAAGTCAGGATCATTGTGCTTATAATAGAAATTTTATTTCTTCTTTCAGTGCAATCTGCAGAGACATCCCGACTGCAACAATCTGAAACAATGGAAAGGTGGCACTGTTAAGATCGATCCATTAGCTCTTGTTCAAGCGATTGAACGTTATTTGATGGTTCGAGGATATGGACGAATACGTGACACTGAATCCATGGTTAGCGACGATGACAACAGCGAGGATGATATTGATGATACATTAGTAAGAATTATTTTTTTATCAATAATTTACAATAATTCGTTAAACTTATATCCTAGTACAGTCTATAATACAATTGAATGTTCAGGCTGCGGTTGTGATAAGCCAGGGCTCAGCTAAGCACAAGCTACAGTTTCTTATTGGCGACGAGGTTCTGCCATTTAACATGACAGTTTATCAAGCTGTCAGGCAATTTGGTTGCTCGGGAATCGATCACTCTGAAGCTGAAGCTGACAGTGAACCACCTTTAGGGCATGATGCTGTTTGGGTCCAGACTCACACAATATACTACAGGTATGATTTATTTGATATTTTACTTCACTAGATTTGAACATTCATCGGATATGTAACTGATGTATTGCTGTTAAGGAAAAACGCTGAAAATAATGAGAAGTAAAGTTTAGTGACAATGGAAAATGTATTTTTAGGCCGGTGCCCGAAGAGGAAGCTACAACATCGCCAAAGCCAGGTTCAAGTTCCCAAGGAAGTAGTCGTAAGGGTAAAGGTAAAAGTACGAAGATCAGCTCAAAACGAAAGGAAGATAGTCTCTGGCTAGAAGGAACTATTCCACCACCTCGTTGTCCCTTGGCGCCATATTTAACGCCTACACTTCCGCCATCTGTAACAATAACTGACGCCTCTCTTGATGGACTTTGTCTACTTCGTCTTCTTCACGCATTGAATCGTCATTGGGGCGTTCTCTTTCCGCATCTTAAGAGCGTCAGCCTTCTAATGCCTCCAGACTTTATTAATAACAAAATTGCTGCCAAAGCAAGCCGCCAACTTCAGGATCCGCTTGTTATCATGACTGGGAATCTGCCTTCTTGGCTTCAGCAGATAGCCACAGTCTGGTGAGTTTTTAAAAGTATTCTCCGTCTTGTCATTGGTGTTTCAAATGGTACAGCCGGTGCCAACTACTGCAAAACAAATGTGATTACGTTTGAATTATTTTCATCCTGGTAATTTTTTCTCGTTTTATTCTATTACAGCCCATTCCTCTTTCCGTTCGAGACCAGACAGTTATTACTCTATGCTACATCTTTTGATCGTGATCGAGCTCTCCAAAGACTTTTGGATTCCGCTCCTGAGCTCTCTGGTTCTGATAGTCAAGAACGCGTCACTCCCAGGTTGGAGAGGAGGAAAAGGACTATTTCAAGAACAGATATTCTTAAGCAGGCTGAACAAGTCATTCAGGATTTAGCATCCAGCAAAGCCTTGCTCGAAGTGCAATATGTTAATGAGGTAAAAATTGCATTACAATTGATTTCTTAAGAATGCGTATACCCCATTGATAAGCAATGATTTATTGTGAATAAATGGCTTTTTAGGTGGGAACCGGCCTTGGTCCTACGTTAGAATTTTACGCCCTGGTCTCTCGAGAGCTACAACGAGCTGACTTAGAACTTTGGCATGGGAGTTTAAATCCCACTGAGTCTGGTTATGTGAACACATCACACGGACTATTTGCCACGCCAATACCTTGGAATACTAAGGTCTCTCACTTAGCTAAACTAAAAACGAAATTCAAGTTTCTAGGAAAGTTCATGGCCAAAGCTATTTATGACTCCAGGATGGTGAGTATTCATTTCAAAAACTAATACTTCAAGGATGATAATACTAAATGTGTTATATGTATTATCTTTCAGCTGGATTTACCATTCAGTTTAACATTCTATCGTTGGTTATTGGGCGAAGAGCACACGCTTACTCTGGCAGATCTAGCACACGTTTCTCCAGACGTTTATAGAACATTGATAAAACTGCAGGAAGTTGTGCGACGTAAGGAAGTCATTGAACGGGACCAAACCCTTAGACCCAGCGAACGGGCTCAGCTTATCGAAAACCTTGATCTCGATGGCTGTTCCATATCCGATCTGGGACTTGTTTTCGAGCTGCCTGGTTATGAGAACATCGAACTACGTAAAGGTGGCAGCGACATCCCTGTAGACATTTACAATGTGGACCAATACATCAAGGTATTATTAACGTCTTTAATTTTCGTTTTTTCATCGTTGCCTATAAATGCTTATCGAGTGTACTAATGCCACAAATATTTTTTATATTTTCGACTATGCAGTTGGTGGGACATTGGTTCCTCTACGAAGGAGTCTTCAGACAAATGGAAGCTTTTCGGGAAGGCTTCGAGTCCGTATTCCCACCCGCACAGTTACGTTTATTCTTCCCAGAAGAACTAGAGGCAGTTTTCTGCGGTCATACCCAAGGTGGTGGTCAATGGGATGTAAAAACTTTGCTGGAGTGTTGTAGAACCGATCATGGTTACACTCCAGATTCCAGAGCCATTAGGTTCCTCTTTGAAGTAATGTCAGAGTACAAGAGCGAAGAACAAAGACAGTTCATTCAATTTGTAACTGGATCACCACGACTGCCAGTTGGAGGTTAGAATCCTTGTTCGTGTATGCCATTTTATTAATTATTAAGCACACCAATAATAAACGTGATTTTTTTTCGTTTCATTAGGTTTCAAGAGCTTGACGCCACCACTAACAATAGTTCGTAAGACGTTCGACACATCAATGAAAACGGACGACTTCTTGCCATCAGTAATGACCTGTGTGAACTACCTTAAGCTTCCGGACTACACTACCCTGGAGATAATGCGTGAAAAATTACGAATAGCCGCGCAGGAGGGTCAACATTCGTTCCATCTGTCTTAAGTAGAGAAGGGCGAGAGGGTTTCCAGACAAGTGCAGCAAAGTTTTGAACAAGTTGATATACGAAACTCCCGGAGTGTTTTGAGAAGCGTCGTTGACAAGAAAGTGTTAGCTGCCCTAAGTTTCCAGTTCTAATTTATCCGAGGCCGACGCGCTTTAGCTCGAATAAATTTCAGTTTTTTGGTGTTCACTTCCCCGCGCCGTCTACAGTCATCATAGTCCTGACCATTTGAGCCGGCATCCCTCAACAAATTTGACCCACGCGAATCGTGTACCACCGATATTTCGAAGAAGAAAACAAAACTGAAAGGAAGAAAACTATCAGAGACTTCTTCGAACAAGTTTCTTGCGTCGACGACGTTAAAAATAATAAATTAATTTTAAAAAAAGATGTCGAAGGTGAAAACGAAATATGAAGTGGAGATGTAAATACGGATAATTCTATAATCTCGACATAGTTTGATATACGCAACTCTATATAAAAAAATACTTTATATAATAGTCGCAGTAAACCTAACTTACGATACCGACAAGAAAACATACAAGCAACAGCAGCAGCAGGACAGAGAAAAAACGAACATCTAATGGCCATTGAAGGGTGTGTTTCTTAGGTGTAAGTAAAATGGAAGTTTTATATATAACGGCGCAGACCGGAAAATATTCGCGGTCAACGAAGAAGAAGAATAATAATAATAAAAGGAAATATGAAAGAAGTGGAAGGAAAAAAAAGTAATTGGAAAAATAGTGAAAGACTCGTTCGCTTCCTAGTTTACTTTTTATTTTTTTTCTCCTTTCTTTCTTTAGGTGGACGGGAAGTGAAACAATTTTTGTGAACCGATCTCGCAACCTTTATTTACCACATTATACACGTATATTTAATTTTCATTGAGGCATCGCAACTCATAGCGGGATTCTTGATTTAACTGAGAAACTTCTCTATGCGGCGTATTATTTCGTTTACTCATATTTAAGCTTTATTTACAATTTGTCAGTTTTACATGTATACTGAATTAATAGGTTATTTGCTTTGGGTGCACTACCTATGTCACCGTAAAAAGCGTAAATTCTTATTGGAACTTTATTATCGCCGACCACGGAAACTAGGTACACACTTTTTATATCGTTGAACTAGTCTAGGCGACACGAGCAAACTTAATATTCAGAGTCTCGGCCCAGTTTTCACTATGGTAATGTTTGTATTTCTCGAATGTGTTTTCCGGAAGATTGAACTTTTAATTTGTCATTTTTCGTACTCGTAAAATGATTCGAATGAGTTGTACGAAAATATTCGTGTAAGATTTTAAAAAATTATTAACTGACGTTACTAATATGATAATTGCATTCGATGCTAACAATTTAGGCGATTTATGAATCAATTAGTTACCTGTTCTTTGTTTTCTTACAATCTAAATCAAATTCTGAAACAATTCCACATTATTATTATTATCGTAATGGTTTACGTATGATAATTTTTTATCAGTAAAACGCTTTTGGAATATAAAATTGGAAATATTAAAGTTTATCAAAGAGAAGTTTCATGTTATCTCGAGGATCTTGAATTCTTTGACGTAGCTAGGCTCAGGCTGGTCTTTGCGAATAACTTATTATTTCCTGAATATATGAAAAACCGCATGGGTAATGAACAAATAGAAAAAGGTAAAAAACATAAAGCTGCGAAAGGAGAATAATAACTGCTGTTTGGCTTGCTGTCAAAAGTAACATAATTTGTCTGCCAAGTCTTGGTTGTCAAAGTCGTACGAGAGAACAGGAATATGATAAAATGGTTAATTATATTAATATTTGCGAGGAAGAATCGAAAAAGGGTGAATTAAGAGATGGTATGAGATTAAGAAGGAAAGGATTACCTAAGGCTGAGTCCTGTGGTAAGCATCACATGCCGTCACAGGATACGATTCTGTGTAACCGGCAAGCTATTATAAACGAAAGTTATATTTATATCGATCCACTTAGATAACGGATATTTACGTTTTTTTGTTCGGTTGGTGAGAGGAGCGACGATATTCTGTTTCTTTGAATTTCATTCAATAAACGCCGATGTAACGGACTGCAGTGTTTCTTGTGCGTCGTTAAATCCTGCTACGAATTCATAATCACTTCTGATACTTTTTTTTATATTTACCAATGTACAGCGACTTCCTCTCATCCTATCCAGATATCGTCTTTCTATAATTCTATATTATTAACGTAATACATGTTGTTAACGTGTGAAATTTATTTGTATTTGATGAACGTGCAATCGAAAAAAATTAGATTTGTGTAAAACTTTTTTTTGTTCCATTACCCAAAACTTATACATCTTTGTTTTTTCATAAGTGCTTTAGACAGTCTGTACCTTTGGATTTAATCATAAATGGACCTTTTTGATATTTGAATCTATATCGTTTGATTGTCAAATACAGAATTTTGGAAATTTACATTCTAATGAAAAGAATTAGGATTGAATACTTCTGTTTTATAGTTTATTGGCACCGATACAACATTAATGTGACAGATGAATAACTGAAAAACTTATTGTATGGCCTAAACTATTTCATTAGTTATAAATTTAGTATGATAAGAGAAATTAATCATAATAACATTGCGCGATTGAAAAAATTTGTGAAGAATCCCTTTATATGAGCATTCCTAACCATCCTAAGATAAAACACATGCCACCGATTGGTGTTACACGGCTAAATCGCTTCTCTCCTGTGAAAGCGTAGTAATAGCATGTTCCACAAAACATAACCATTCCTGACAACATAAATATTCCTGCCTGAAATAAAGTAGTTCATTACTATATTGTAGAAAATAATATTGCATTAAATGTAAATACAAAAAACTACTTACTATAAAGGGAGCCCTACACATGGGTAAACCGAGCAGTGCTAAAGTATGTATAAAGTGGTATCTACTCGCTGTTTCAAATACTCGCTGCTGTTCTCGGTTATTGTCCTTTGGGTACTGTTCTATTGAGAAAAAAAAACAGAAACTGATATGTAAGATTGACATTAGATACAGAATGGTAATTCAAGGTTCATCTAATTGATCTACTTGAGTTGAGAATTCATAAGTAAATTTAAAATATATTCTTTATTTCAGGATTGTTAACACTCACTGTGGGATCCATAAGCCCCCAATATTACAGCAGTAGCACCACTAAGTGCTGCTAGTCTTACAAATGGACCTGTAGCAGCTGCTAACTTCCACAACGGCACTGGATCTGCTTGTACCATTCTTACTTCAACTTGTGGTTTCGAAACAACGTAATCTTTTACCTGAAATTGAAAATTATAAACTTAATCAAATTTCAATAACATTACATCTAGATTAGTTAAAGTACAATAAGACCAGTTTCGTTAATCATATATTCTTGTAATAATCCCTTAAAGACGAATGAGTTAGTAGCACATAAAACACTCTTAGCACTGGGCATATTCGATATTACAAAATAATAATAACCTTACGCTATAAACAGAAAATGACAAAATATGTATTTCGGGACGTTGGCAGCTAACGTCCAAAACGATTAAAGGTTACGTTCCTCTATTTCCCCTTAAATGAAATGTAATCCTTCATAAAATATGCACGTTGATTGAATTAACATACAAGTCCATGTTCTTGCTCAATTACGCAAGAGATATCAATGGTGACTAAAAATCATTGCAAGATTATTGTCAAGTTTATTATCACTCACAAGTCCTACTGCTGATTTCACATAGCCTGCCGCACCAGTGCTGATGGGATTCGACAAAAAGGCGTAATGCAGTGCATCCTGGATTCCCATTTCTCTTTGAACTATCTAAATTACATAAAATGATTACAAATTATAGGCAACCAAATGTCTTTCAGATATTGTTAACAGCAAATTTCGGCGCCATTTTCATATGTACACGACATGTCACGCAATATACATTTGATTGGCGAAATTAATAAAAATTCTCCAATGATATGATAGCGTAAGATTAATTACGAGAATTTTTAATTTGTGTTCGTAAACAATTGAAGAGACAGATCTTTCAAATGTTTTGCATCTCAACACGAACAAGACTGAACAAGACTTATCATACGGGGCTGCATACGGAATGTCATGGCAACTAGCAAACGTAATTATGTATCGTGTACATTAATGACAAAATAATTGATAACGCAAACCACAAAATATCAATAATTACACATAGAATTATGGCTGCAGCATATGTTAAATTTTCGTCATCATTAAATAAAACTTTATAACGTGCTTCAAAACACTATAGGCTACAGGTATGTTCAAAAATGAGCCCAGATCATGTTGTATCTCGATCAAATGCACGTAACAAACAAAGAAGCAGTGATACACTTCCTACAGAGATGAGATGGGAGATGCACAACACAGTTCCAAGCGAAACCAAAATCATGGCGCTAAATCGTACCGGCGAGTCTGGAAGTAGGATTTTGTGATCATCGCCTCCGTCAACAATGCAAATCCCGTCGTCGCCGAGCTAAACGTGAACACGAACGCGCAGCTTGGCGAACAGAAGTTGTCCGCTACTGAACGCTGGTTCCCAAAGCAACCCTTAAAACGAGACCGGGAACTATAGAACTTCTCAAGAACTATTGAAAAAGCCTATTGTTGAAACATTTTTAAGACAGTTTTAAGTAAGTGCAGTGCCACCTTGACACCCGTGTAGTACCTCAATTTTTACTAAATATTACTAGATCTTGATTTACTATAAGAATTTATTAAAAATATAACATTGAGGCTAAATCAAAATCTCGCAGAATATACGGAGTAGATAAAAATTAAATTGAAATTGTAGAATATCGAAAATAAATTACATTCAAATTGAAATATTAATAAATTAAGTGTTTGTAACATTAAAATAATGAATTAAATCAATAAAGTAAAATATTAACCCTCTGAAATCGGAAAATCAGGCCAAGCATATTTAGAAATTACTGGAAGTTGCCCAAAATTGTATGCGTGCAAATTCGTCGCGGCAGGACTCTGGGAGTGGGAGATGGCGGAAACTGGGGGTGAGCGCTGGAGGCAGCGCCCGGACTCCGAGCGGGCCGCTCATTCTTCCTCGAGCCGGTCTCCTATACTGGTCTCTTGGAATTACCCCTCATATTCATTTCCAACCTTCTTCTATTTCTATAGTTATTTTTTCTTTACTTCCTTATTTCTTTATATTTCATTCTTTACTTTCTGATTTATCTCTTTCCTCATTTCTCCTCTACTTATATACCCCTATTCTTTACTTTTCTACTTTTTAACTTCTTTATTTCTATCTTCCCTTCTGTCTTCTCGTTCGCTCATTCTTCCTGGAGCCAGTCTCCTATACTGGTATCTTGAAAACACCCCTCATATCCATTTTCAATCCATATCTTTTTCTATATTTATTTCTTTATCCTTCATTCCTTATTTTACTACTTATCTCTTTCCTTATTTCTTCTCTACTTTTATACCCCCATTCGTTATTTTTCTAATTTTTACCTTCTTAAATTTTATCTTCCTTTATAACTTCTCGTTTTGCTTTGTTCCCTCTCACTTTCAATTGTATTTGTCTTACTTATCCTATTCCTTTGGTCGGGTCGAGCATATTAATTCAAGTAGTCATATAAGAGTAGTCATCCGGTTAGTGCTGATATCCATAGGATAATAGCGAAAGCTAGTCCTGTTACAGTTTATATTTCAATTCCAATCAATCGGACTTCCAATACGAGCGGACGTCACCAAGCAACACAGCAAGTCATACCTAAGGTAACAAGCAAAATTCTTAAAAATTAGAGTCATTGATTTTCATGTATATTTTTCTTCATCACTAAATGCAGGGTGTTGTACAAAGATAGAAAGGGCTTTTATTTAAATCACTGTATGGAATTATTGACGGGACTGGTACATAGAAGTGAAAGGAATAACGGAGATATTTGCCAATCGATGTGATCGCATACGTCCCTGACAATTTGAACATCAACCAGTAAAAAGGAATATCGCAAACAATTCCTCCATAATTTTATCAACGGCTACGAAGTACATCATGTTTTCGAAACAACGTACAGCTTAGCGATATTATTTATTTTAGTTTGGTTTTTGTAATTTGTAATGTAAGTGTGGGTCATGAGTGTTATGGAATGGGTCATGAATGTTATATCTTAAAATCGCCTTATTTAATCAAATATGTT